GAGGAGAAGAGAGAGGGGGAGGGGGAGAGAACCGTTGAGGTGGAGGGCACCGCACCGCACGATGAATAAGTAAGGCGGTAATGCCGGCTAAGAGCCCGGCGAGGCACACCTCCAAGCAGGCCGCCGGTGCCTTCGCCGCTTTGTCTCTCTCGCACACCTTCGGGGCGCCCCATGAGTGCGAGCGAGACAGACGAAGAGACACTGTCCACGCCGAGGACGTCGCACCCGTTGCCACGCCCTCGCCCACAACCGAAGCCAATTAAACTTAAACAAAACGAACGCTGATATTAGTCGTTTCGCGGCCGGCCTCGCTCTTGGTTTATGCCTTTGGGTTATTTGCGAGCGCCACATATTCCAGCCGATTCCAGCCCAACTCCAGAAAAAGGAAGAGGACTAGCGACGGCTGGATGAACGGGCGGGGCGTTGCTGCTGGGCGTGGCCCCGGTGACAACGGACTCCACGCCAAGAGCAAAACTATGTGCGAAAAATCTTCCATGGCTGGAAGGGTCGAATTTCACTCGAGGAGTGTTGGTTGGAAGGAACCCAAAGCTCTTCATCGATAACCGTGCACGCTCGTTGCCGAGGCTCCAAGCTCGTCGCCGGGACTCCGGGGCGTCATCGTGGACCCCGTCCGGAAGCCCCGCCGCGCGGCCCGGATCCCAGCGGCCCGGCCAAGGTTGGCATTCCACGTGCAGCCGGCAAAACCGTCAAAACTATATCGGAACACATGTCCACGTGCGGCGGGCGAGGCCGCGCCGGGCCCAGCCGCCCAGCCGCGCCGCCTAGTAGCAAGTCAGTCGGTCTCTCTCGCACCCACGCGGCGCGCCCAGCGAGAGCGAGAGAGACAGCGCGGTGCTGCCCAGCAACGCCCAAAAGTAATGGCTTAATCGCTGCCCGCGGGCGCTGCGCCGCGGCGGTCCGAGCGGTCCGGGGCAGGCGTCGAAAGGTGGCGTTTCCAAGCACCTCGCACAGTGGGCCAGAAGACCGGCGCAGGCGGCCAAAACTCTAGACGCGTTTTGAGTCCACAGTCGCTAAATGGGATACTCGAACCAAACGAGTGACCCCATCAATAGATTCCTCGTGCGGAGAGCAAGTCATTGGTGGGGTCACACGTTCGGTTCGAGTCCTGTTTAGCGACTCTGGAGCTCAAATCGCGTCTGCGCCGGTCTTCCGGCCCACTGTGCCTCGCCTAGCCATCCCAGCGCCGCCCAGCGGCCTTCGCGTTTCCACGAGGAATCCCTGGCCGGACGCATCGGCAGGAAAACGCGTCCTTGCGCGCTTTTTTTACACGCGTATGCATTTACGCGATTATTTTACCGTGAAACCCGCACCCATGGGCCGGACGATTATTTCAAGGAGCTGAAGGCCACCGCGCTGTAAGACACATGCCAGAGCGGAGCCGAGCGGACCAGACGGCTCAAGGGAAACCAAAGGGAAGGGCCGGCCGGCTGCGTTCCGAAAGTCATTTTCGGCGCTCCGTCTCTCTCGCACTCAAAGGCGGGCACCACGTACGCGCGAGCGAGACAGAGACAGAGCGACGAAAACGACGGCTCTCGGAATCAGTCCGCAGCCGAGCAGGGCTGGGCGGAGTGGTAGCCCCAGGGGCCATCTCGAGCGCGCGCACGCCGTCTGGACACACACACACACACACACACACACACACACACACACACACACACACACACACACACACACACAACACCGAGTGCATACGCCGGGCGCCATTCGTACAATGGGCGTCGTTCCTGACAATGATGATAGGCGCGTGCACTTATTCCGACTCGGCGAGAAGCGAGGAAAAAAAACGCGTTGCGGTCGCGGCGAGCGCCTGTGGAAATGGAGATAGGCAGCCACGCTGTACACGGGTGTCGTGGGACTCCGACCGACTGCCTACCTTCCAGGCGCTCGCACAGAAGCACCCCTCGCACGAAGCATGGTGGCGCCTGGAGCCGCCTGGAGGCAGGCCGGCGGGCCTGGAGAGGAGAGCCATTCCCCTTCTTCCTCCAGCCTGGCGGGTCCTGCCCCTCCACCGCCGGCGTGCCGCGGCGTGCGAGTGAGAGAGCGAGTGGGGACCATGATTTGGGCATATTTGTCGACGGCGCAGTCACCGCGTGCCGGTGGCGTCGGGGTGGGGGTGCACAGTGGGCAAGAAGACCAGCGGAGGCGGCCAAACCTCTAGACGCGTTTTAGATCTCCAAAGTCGCTAAACAGGACTCGAACCAAACGTGTGACCCCACTAATGGACTCCTCGTTCGAAGAGGAATCCATTGGTGGGGTCACACGTTCGGTTCGAGTCCCATTTAGCGACTCTGGAGCTCAAAGCGTCTAGAATTCTGGCCGCCTCCACTAGTCTTCTGGCCTACTGTGGGGCGGCCGGTGATAAGAGATCCGCGCCCCGGGAGGCTTGCCGGGAGGGGCACCGAGTGCCGACGCTCATTTAGATCACTCAGTCAGGCGGTTGCGCAACGACCAACGCGTACCAACGCGGCGCCGGCATCAGAACAAACTTCACGACGTCGATGCCCGTACCGCGCACGGGCCGCACGGGCCGCACGCGGTCTCAAGGCCAGAAATCCAAGCCCCCCGGCATGCGGCAGGCGGCAGGGGGACGGAAAATCGAAGCCCTCTGACGGGGGGACAGAAATGCAAGCCCACATTCGGTCGAAATACTTGGGCACCTTTTTAGCGTGCACCGCCCACACGTCCCGAGCGGCGTGCCAGACAAACGCACCGGGATTGGACCAGGCGGCCCGGCGAGCGCCGCGGCGAGACGAGGGTCATGCATCCCACTCGGCGCATTCACTCAGCGCCTCGCTCAGCGCAGCCACGGTCCGAATTCGCGGCCAGTGCCACCACTGACAGGGGCACCGCTATTTCGCACACACTGCCACAGACGCACGCATGCACGCACACGCAGAAGCCCGAACCGTAATGGACTCATTATCATTCTTTCTCCAATTTTGTTCCTTTTTTACGATTAACTTGGCTGATTTGCTGTTTTCAATTTGCACAGCTTACCAACGGTAATCGACAGGACGAAAATCAGAGCCGGACTTCCCCGCGCTCGGACGTGACAGGAACGCTTTATCCCTGCTGCCCCTCTTTTTTTCAAACTTTTTGTTCCACTTTGTCAAACCCTACTCTTGATTCGCCCGGCACAAAGAGCCATCACTCACACAGCCCGGACCCACCAGAGTCGCGTATCTGCTCGCGAGCGGGGCCGAGTTACCAGTGTGCACCGCATCTCGTGTCGATCAGGAGTCTGATTCTGTAGCTCTGTCTCTCTCGCACCCCTACGGAACGACCCGGGAGTGCGAGAGAGACAGAGCGACAAAAGCACTGTTGAGCCTGCTGGCCAGACACAGACAGAGGTCCTGTCACGATGACGAGAAAAACGCCAAGGGCGCGAGAGCCAGATCCATCGGAGTCACATGCTGTGGGCAGCCCGCCACCCCGGCCAGCCGGGCCAGGCGGCCACAAACATTCTCATCCAGCTCGCTGACACCCCGGCAAAAACGGCTAATCATTTTCCACTTTCCAATCAGCAGCCACGCAGTCGATGCGGGGCAACATTTCGCTCGCCCTGATAATATTGTCTCGCACCAAGGCCGGCACGCCGGCATGGCGGGGCAGCACCCTGCCCTGCTCGCCGTCATGAGGGGCGTCACCGACTTCAGCGAGCAACGCAGCACGGCGCAGCGCGGGGACCACGACGGCCGGTAAAAAAAAAACGAAACGGCCGAACACAGTTTGAATCAGTTTCGCGCCACACCTACTAGTCACCTGACATCGGGCATGGAGAATGGATACAGGTTTCCGCCCCGAGCGGGAGAGAAGGAAGAACACAAATACTCACACACGCACATACACACACACACACACACACACACACACACACACACACGGACGCGCGCGCGCACTCGCACGATCACACGCGTTCGCACAGTCGGGCCAACAGACTCACACGCCGCCTAACTGGAGCGCCAATCCGACCTTGACCAACAGCTGGGCCGCTTCCTCACGTGAACAGTCGGCACGTGAACGTTACACCACAGCCACACCCCCTTTCGACTAACCTGCGCCCAGAGTCCACAATGCACAGCCGGCTTGGGGATACATAGAACCGGAGTTCAGTTGGCGGAGCGTTGCCACATTCAGCGCTGACCAATCAATATCGATGACTGCATTCGGAACGCTTCTCTGGGTCACTTTTTTTCTAGAGTATTGGAGGCAAACGAAACAGGAGGACGACACTGCGGGGAGCGTTGCTCGCATAACTTAGAGGCCATTGTACGGTGGAGTGCCCCTCCAAACCGGCGCGGCCCGCGCCACTCTAAGTGCGAGGCGCCACACACTGGAGCCTTCCTCGCATGCTAATCCCGGTGCAAGCGGTTCACGGCGACACCGAGTCGCAACGGGCAGCCCAACGCTCCAACGCGGCCTTGGCGCACAATGAGCCCTAACGTTCATTAGTTTCGAAAGCGAATTTAGGCTCCAAGGGCGATCAATTTTTAGCTAAGAGCGGCCCGGAGAATGGCACCGTATACCAGCCGAATTAATGCCTCATTCCGGTGGCCGCGCGGCCGCGCTGGGAGAGGGCCACAATGGCGCACGCACCGCCCGCCCGCACGGCCGGGCCGCCCCACCCCGCCCCGCCCCGCCCGCCCCGCCACGCCCCGCCACGCCCCGCCACGCCCCGCCCGCCGCGCGGCCACTGAAAACAAACTGTTACACCACGAAGCGTGCGGGCTGGGAGGCCGAGGGCCCGAAGGCCCGAATCTGATAGGACTTGCTTCGCGATCCCGACGCCTTCACACTGACCGACGCGCGGCGGGGAGGGGGCGGGGAAGGGGGCGGCCGCGCAGGGGCTGAGGGGCCTCGCGGCGCTAGGAGGGGTTTTGGGGCAACCAGGGGGCGGCGGCGCGGCGGCGCGGCGGCACGGCCACAGTGCCGTGTTGTATATAAGAGCGGGCGCGGGCCCAGGACGCCACTGACGATCGCTCTCCTCAGCAAGCAACATGGCATTCAGGGTGAGTGCCCACCGCCCCGCCAGCCCCGCCAGCCGCGCACCAAGTGACAGTGCCACACATTGGATTACAGTGCAGTGCTAATACCCACTTCTTTTGCAGTTCGTCGCTTTCGCCGCCCTCGTGGCCGTCGCTAGGGCTGGAGTCGCGCCTCTGGCCTACTCCGGCTACGCCGCCGCCCCCCTGGCCTACGCCGCCCCCCACGCCGTGGCGCACGCCGCCCCTCTGGCCTACGCCGCCGCCCCCGTCCTCCACAAGACCGTGGTCGACACCGACTTCGACCCTCATCCCCAGTACAGCTACGCCTACGACGTCCAGGACGCTCTGACCGGCGACTCCAAGAGCCAGCACGAGAGCCGCGACGGCGACGTCGTCCACGGCAGCTACTCCCTCAACGAGGCTGACGGCACCCGCCGCACCGTCGACTACACCGCCGACCCCGTCAACGGCTTCAACGCCGTCGTCCGCAAGGAGCCCCTCGTCCACGCCGCCCCCGTCGTCGCCAAGGTCGCCGCCCCCGTCGCCTACGCCGCCCCCGCTGTGCACGCCGCCCCCGTGGCCTACGCCGCTCACGGCTACGCCGCCCCCGCTGTCCACGCCGCCCCCGTGGCCTACGCCGCTCACGGCTACGCCGCCCCCGCCTACGCTGCTCACAGCTACGCCGCCCCCGCCTACGCTGCGCACAGCTACGCCGCCCCCGCTGCCTACGCCGCCCACGGCTACGCCGCCCCCGCGTACTACCACTAAGCGATGTTCCTTCGAGTGCCACAAAAATGTCACAAGCACTTGTGTATATGTTGTACATAACGTCGATCTCTGTGATGAAAATCAAAAGAACTGAATAAAAATTATAAAAGACCTTAAACATTGCTTTGTAATTTTGATTGCTCCGATGACACAAAACACTCATTCCTTACACAACGACCGAAAGGTAGTAATGGTTGAATGATGTCATTAGCAAGGCCTGAGCAGTTTCTTTAAAGGTCATGTGGAGAGATCGGTTTTATACGGATGGGTGTAGACAAGAGGCAAATGAACGTTTTTAACAAGCGGGCAGTGCATTTTATTCGGTCGTACATTTTGAACACAACGAGTCCACAAACATGTACATCAGTTCATTTCATTTCCTGCTCAGTTTATTGAGTACCCTGGCAAAATTCAGCTAAGAAGAAAAGTATTAGAAACCTGTGCTTCTCAATCTCGAGCCGAACGCTCACACCCACCTGCCGCCGGGGCAAATTATCACAGGAAATCAAACCCCTTTCAGTTCAGAAACACAGAAAAGCCCACACCGAGTCGAGGAAGAACAGTCCACTCGAAGCTTGGAAAAGAGAAAGGAGCAGGAAAGCTGAGAAGGAAGTCCACTAAATCGATCCGAAGGCAGCCCCTGACGGGGCACGGCGGGGTGACCGCGGCAGCGACGGAGCCGTGACGCCTAGGCCCAGGGTCCACGCTGGAGCAGGCCGGGGCCCGCCAGCGCGGCGAGGCCCAGGTTGGTGGCCAGGGCGACGGGGTTCACCAGCTGCTGGAGCTGCAACTGCTGCTGCAAGGCCTGGAGCTGCTGCACCTGCTGGATCTGCTGCACGGGCTGCAGCTGCTGCAGCTGGGGATGAATCTGCTGGACCTGCTGCAGCTGGGGCTGGAGGAGTTGCTGTTGCTGCAGCTGCACGAAGGGCGAGCCGGCGGACACGACGCGCGGCAGGGCGGCCACGGTGATGCCGGAGGGCGCGTCGACGCGGGCCGACGACGTGGAGGCCAGCGCGACGGTGGGGTGCGCCACCAGGGCGGGGCCGGCGAGCCGGGCCAGCGCCACGGCCTGGGGCTCCCGTCGGACCACGGCGTTGAAGCCGTTGACGGGGTCCGCGGCGTAGTCCACGGTGCGGCGGGTGCCGTCGGGGTCGTTGACGGAGTACGAGCCGCGGACCACGTCGCCGCTGCGGCTCTCCTGCTGACGCTTCGAGTCGCCCGTCAGCGCGTCCTGGACGTCGTAGGCGTAGCTGTAGGCGGGGTGCGGGTCGTACTCGCTGTCCAGGCTGGCCACCCTGATCGGCGAGGAGATGATGCCGGCCGCGGACAGGCCCAGGATGGCGGCGAACACGAACAGCTGCGGACCGAACTCGTTAGCGCCTGGCCGAACTGGCCACCCTAGCGGAGCACGACAAGTACCTTGAGTGCCATGGCGGAGAAGGGAGGTGGCGATGCTCGGCTTGTCACTGGGCAGGCAGGACTGTGCTGACCATGTCGCACTGCAGTCCTTTTATACAATGCAACTCTATGCACCTGGCCGTTCGAGGGTCCATCCTAGCCGGACGACTCCCACCCCCCGGCCCCGCTGAAATCCAACACCCGCGCGCCGCACCGAGCAGCACCGCGCAGCGCGCCGGGACAAAACTAAGACATCGTATTGTGTTCACCGCGGAGGCCAAGTGCACCTAAAGTCCCGGCAAGGCCACCCCACACACACGCAAGCGCACACACACAAACGTTCGCGGACACCTGTTTGAGTGAACTTGTCAAAAACAACGGGAACTGCAGCCTTCTGATCCCCTGCTCGTCCAAACCCCTCGAGTCCACGACTTGTCCATTCCAAGGCGACAGGTCCCCAACAAAGATGCGTCCAAACACACTTGGGCGTTCAGAACGCCGCCAGTGGCCGACAAAACGGTGGCGGGGAAGCGCTTCGGCCGACGCGGTGCTCGCGTCCTCCCGGTGCCGTGCCGGTGCCGTGCCGGTGCCCTGCCTTGAGTCGCTTCACCTTGCGGCCGAGGCGCCGCCCGGCCCGCCCGGCTCCGTGTCGCGGGATCGCGTTGCCGTGGACCCTCGGCCGCGAGGCCCTCTCGGTTCAGTGCCCCGCCCGCGTTACATCGCCCGGATGCCGCCGGCCTCTCTTTGTCGGCGGACCGCCAATCAAACGAGGGGCGAATCACTCGGCGTTCTGGTGTACTCATGAGCACGGGTGACTACACCTTGGTTTACTCATAAATTTCACAATTTAAAACGTTTTAAGGCTTTATTGAGCGTTTTTAACGGCACTCAACGTTAAATCGGTTGAAAAACTAGAGAATTACGCCCTTTTTAAACTTGTGAGTACACTGAGTACGGGCAATTTTGTACACATGAGTACACTAGTGATTCACCCCTCGCAATCAAAGCACATCTTGTGCGAGACAAAGCCTCCCATGTGAAAATACGGTGTTGAAGTAAAAATCTTGCCAATCACCGGGAACTTGATGGGAAAAAATTGTATCTAAATCAAATAAAGTTTTACTTGGCATGAGTATCCAGTGCGTACAGTACAGAAAAAGTTGTTATGAATAAGTGAGAAATTCAAGACGTACCTTTATTTTTAACAGAGTAGTTTTCAATAATTTTCCACTTTTTTTTTCAGAGTACTGCTGAGGCAAGGGGTGCGCTTCCTCGCGCGGCCATAAAACGAGCGGCGGCGCGGGCCGCGCGCCAAACGGCCGGCCCGGGCGAGACGGACAATACAAATTGGGCTGGACAAGACCCTGCGAGGCGAAAAAGAGAGAAAGACAAAAAGGACGCGGCGGTGCTGGTTTCGCGCGGAGAACAAGTTCCATATCACTCCGCATCGCGCACCAGTCATAATTTAAGCCACCCACCCGGGCCGCCATTCAAACGAAAAAAAAAAAAAAAAAACACAAGGTAAAAAAAAGAAAAGTGACGACGTTTTGCAACGGCAGCTGATATAACTGATTATGAACAGCATAAACGAGTACACTTTAGGCATGCTACGCTGCGCGGGTTCTACTGGTGATCTACGAGCTACCGCGAGAAAGTCCATTTCAATCACGCTGCTCACCATTTTTCACCTGCTAAAACACCCTATTTCGGACTCAATTTCTCCCACGTATGGACGAGTCCGCGGCGTCAACAGAACGAGTTTTTTTTCCAGTGCCTCCCCCACTCGCGGATTCTTCAATAGGGCAGGCGCGTGCGTGAGTAGATTCCCGGGCGTGCGTGCGAGCGGCGCGCACTCCAAAAGGGCTCGCGTTGGTCAAGGTCGCGCGCCGCGTGGGCACGCACTCACGCACTCACACACACACACACACACACACACACACATCAATGGCGGTGGCACACACGACGGTCTAGACGGTCTAGTTGGCCATATGGGATGGCGGAAACGGGGCAGGGCTGCGCGCTGGTCTCAGACTCGACCATCCTGGAACGGTGGTTTTTCGCTGGGCAAAGCCACGCCACAGCCAGAGGCACAGCGCAGCCTGTTGAGGTAGGCCCGCACCCTCAAAACGCGCGCAATACCGTTGCAATGCCAATCCGTGTCGTGTTCAAGGAGTGCGAGAGAGAGAGAAAGGAAAACCCAGCGGACTGGAGGGGGGTAAACGTCCGTTCACTGGAAGTGGACAGAGAGGGGCCAACTTCTCCTCGCCGCGTTGACAGGTTGCACAAGACGCTGCGCGTCAGACGTCACTCCTCCGTGCCACACGTGTGTGTGTGTGTGTGTGTGTGTGTGTGTGTGTGTGTGTTTGTTCGCGCGTGTGCACAAGCGTGCCTCCGTGCCGGTGTGCTCCACGCAAAACACTCGGGGTGGCGGTAAAGGCAAAGGCAGAAGGAAGACGTTATCGTCTTTATTGCTTGTAACTATACATGAGGCGACACGAGTAATGGAGATGATAACAAATTTACAGATAACAGAAAGTGACTAGGGCCGCTCGTCAGTGGTAGACGGAGTAGGACGGGGCGGCGACGGCCACCTTGGCGATGGCGGGCACGGCCACCTTGGCGACGGCGGCCACGGCCACCTTGGCGGGCTGGCGGTCCACCACGGCGTTGAAGCCGTTGTGGGGGTCGGCCGTGTAGTGCACGGTGCGGGTGGTGCCGTCGGGCTCCACCAGCGAGTACACGCCGTGCACCACGCCGTTCTGCAGCTCCTCCTTCTGCTGCTTGGCGTCGCCGGTGGCGGGGTCGGACACGCCGTACGAGAAGGCGTACGCGGGGTTGGGGTCGTAGGGCTCGGCCACGGCCACCTTGGCCACGGCGGGCACGGCCACCTTGGCGACGGTCAGGGCGGGCTGCGCGTACGCCACCGGCGCGGCCAGGCCCACCGTCTTGATGGCGGGGGCGTAGCTGGCGTACGAGACGGCGGGGGCCGCCGCGTAACCCAGGTCGCCGGCCTGCGCCACCGCAGCCAGCGCGGCGCTCAGGAACACAAACTGCATGGCCAGCAACAGGGTTAGACCGGCGGGCACAGAGTCACACAGTCACACAGCAGCACAGGCTGGCCTCAGGATGGCCACATGGATGCTCACACGGACACACAGATGCGGGCGCTCTAGTGGAGCAGGGACGCCACGGAATTTGTGGACGGGCCCGCCCCGCGAGGCACCACTAAGAATTCAATCCGAGGCATCGTGCTGGCCCTCCATGACTCCTACGGCCCCGGCCCTGCTCCAGCCTCGCGGCACACTGCAGACCACTCACCGCAAGCATCCTGCCGGGCAGAATTCCGTATTTGCACTGCGGCTATCGGATAGCTGCGTTTCGCTTATAAACGCCATCGTGTGCACACACACACACACACACACACACACTGTCAGTCGGAGACACGTGCGACTCGGTTGGCGAGGGTAGTGGACGAGTAGCGCAGTGTCGCCGTCCTGGTGGTGGTGGAGGCAGTGGTGGTGGCAGATCTAGATTTTTCATTGACTGGATGGGGGCAATGAATGCGCTTCCATTGACGGGACAGCCGCACCGCAAGGGCAGCGGACCGGACTACCCTGGCGGGCAGACAACCCTGGCGCATCAGACAAAAGTGGGCAAGTCCATTTCTTTTGTCCAAGTACCAGCACAAATTATCATGCGAAAATGCGTGAAAAAGTAATACTGAACGACCGAACAAACGCAAAGACTTGGGGTTTGAGTTCGAGCCACGCAAATAGAGTACAAAGAATGCTGTCGAAACGAAGAGTGCTGTCACGTGGGCGGCGCTGCGCTGCCTTTCATCGGGTGGACTAAACGACAGGCGGCCGGTCAAGGACGCGGCGCCTTATTCGAACGATCGAAAACCGCACCGCGCCGCGTCGCCGCGTCGTCGCCAAGATAACCGTGGCGTAAAAGGCAACACTCGACACAATGACAGGACCAAATGACTCAAGGATCTTGATTGCGGTTCAAAGAACGGCCTGTCAGATCACTTTTGCATACGCATTGGTATTGGTGCGCGGGAGACCTCAACGCGCGCGCGGTCGCAGAGGTCCCAATCGATATCGTCGATAGTGTCGACGGCGTGAGAGTCGGAAGCAAGCGGTGCTGGAGTCGATTGCAAAACAAACACTGCGCCAAGAGATGGACGCTTTTCGAGAACACGAAAAAGAGACCTGGCACGGTGGGCCAGAGGACCGGTGGAGGAGGTCAAACTCCCAGACACGTTTCAATTACCAGAGACACTAAATGTGACCCCACCAATGGATTGCTCTCCGAACGAGGAATCCATTGGTGGGTCACACGCTCGGTTTGAGTCGCATTTGGTGACTCTGGAGCTCAAAACGCGTCTAGAGTTTCAGCCACCTGCACCGGTCTTGGCAAACCCACTGTGCCTGGCAGAAAAGCTCGCAACAAACGTTTTCTTCTTTCAAGAGACCAAAAACGTGCTCTATGCTCTACGGCGGGGCCCGGCTGGTACCCGCTGTCCTCGCTAGCGACTGGACACCGCGGTGCAGCGGCTAATCGCTACAAAGGCGAGCAGAGCCGAGCAGAGCTGAGCAGAGCGCCGCCATGGGAACGGACGCCATTACGGCACCAATCAGCGGTCAGTCCGTCAGTGTATTCAGCCGGTCAATCCAAAGACAGAGCGACTCTCAACACACTATAGCTCCAGTCCCATGGAATTATTTTCATCGAATCTCTAGGTTAACTCAAAATGACAAAGTATGTCCGTGTAATTCTTAGTGATTAAACTGAAAACTAACAATTTAATTCAAATTAAGATAAGTGTTTTAGAGTGTTCCCCATCTCCCATTTCAGACACCTGCCCATCGGCTCGGCCCAGTTGAGCGCAGTACCAAAACAACGCAAAACGCTCCAATAACGATCTCTCTCTCTCTCTCTCTCTCTCTCCGGGCCCATCACTGGCGGCCATCATCATTGGTCATCTCTCAGGGCCGCGGCGCACGGCAGCGCCTCTCCGAGGGCCACGGCCAGCCACGGCCATTGGCCATGCCACGCCCTTTGCGGTGACGTCAGCACCGAGTTAAGTGGTGCACCGGAAGCAGGCAATCCGGTGTCGCAGACTGAGTCGCAGACTGCTACATATTCCGCCTCTCTGTTTCCCGGCCTCGCCGAGACCGCCTCCCCCTCCTCTGCCTCCTCAAGGAACCGGTCGATGCCTCACAATGCTGCGATGGGGCGCGTGGCACGCTAGGGCACCTGCCGCCAACGGCCGCAGAAACTCATTTTCAACGACACGCCTCTCTGTTTCTCCCAATTTTACCAAGTCAAAAATAACTTTTTCCAGTCTTGCTGAAGTAGAGCCGAAACCGCTTGCTGGGTGATCCTCAGCACGACGCAACTGGCGCCGCGGATAGACAGAGTTCCCGCGGGTGGTCCCGGCGGCTGGGTTTCGTTTCCAAAGTCTCGGCCCTTCCCGGTTGGCGGCACGGCTGGGCCGGCACGGCTGGGCTGACTTAACGCAGCGCTAAACGCAACGGGCGCGCCGCTGCACCCATTCCCCACGCAACGCATCTGCGGCACGAAGGCAGGCTTGGCGAAGGCGGCGTGGCGCAAGGCGCGCAGGGCGGCCAAGGGAGGTGCCGACCATCCCCCTGGACGACAAGCAGGCCGCGCGGGACGACCCGCCACACCGCAAGGCCCAGCCCGGCCCGGCCCGGCCGTCAGCTGCTTTGCGATTAGCCACACGCAAACAGAGTAGTAGGTCCACGCTGTAAATATCGGCCAAATTCCGGCGAGCGCGGCCTTGACGCGTTGCGAGCAAAGCGAGCGCGTTGCCATGGGAACGGGAACCAAACTCGCCTTCTTCACCTGCTTTGCCTCCGCCCGGTGATGCAAGGCGGTGGCGTGAGAACGCGCGAACGCGCCGCCGAAATTCATACGCAGGAAGAAGCGGCCCGCCCGGCTCGTGAAACGGATCTGCAGCGCCAAGGCTCCGGCGGAAGGGACGGGGCCGTCCGCAAACTACTTGCCTGGGGCGAGGAAAAGAGATGAGAGTAATCGAAAAGTTTCCTAAAAAGAAATAAACATTTTACTCGATTTCGATTATTTTTTTCCTTTGGTGGTTTTCCTTGAGGCGTGAAAATTATACGAGCGCTCCACGATACGGTGGTGTCAATATTTTCACGAGACATAGGGACGGCCCCCCGGCCCAAATTGCCGTTTGGCCGTCCTTGAGTGCGGGCCCCCGCCGGCCCCACGGGGACATCGACCCAAAAGGCTGATTCCGAGAGTCGCGGTCGTCTCTCCCTCTCTCTCTCTCTCTCTCTCTCTCTCTCTCTCTCTCTCTCTCTCTCTCTCGCACTCGTGGGGCGACCCGCTTGGGTGCGAGAGAGACAGAGCGACGAAAGCGACTCCCGGCATCAGTCTGCAGGCGCGCAGCAACCACACCGATAATGCCACTCATTACTCCTGTTTTCGGAGCGATGGAAACGAGGATGTGGCGGCAGGGCCGGGCCGGCCGGGCAGTGCGGCATTCCGGAGACTAGTGTAGCGGCACAACAATGAGGGACGTCCTTGGCGGGCGCGGGCCTCGGCCAGCGGGCGGGGCCGGCCGCCGCGCAGGGGGCCGCGGGCGTCGCCTTCGAGGCCGCCGGAGTGCGCGCGGGGCGCGGGGCGCGGGGCCAGCGAACTCTAGCCGACACCGAGAGGGAGAGTGAGAGAGAGTGAATGGTGCCCACCGTCCCGGCAGGCCATCCCGGCAGGCCATCCCGGCGGGCAGAGCGCCTGTGAGGTGGACTGTACCGCCGCGCACGCACGCCTCGCAGTCGGCAGGGTTGCCTACCTGCCTCTTGGCAGGCGGCGGCAGGGACGACAACGTGCTTTAGCAAATGAGTGCATCGAGAGGCAGCCTTCAGCTTCGTGTCGGTCCCGTTTCGGCGCGGTCCGGCCAGGCAGGCAGGCAGCCAGGCCCGCCGATGACGGTCAGTCAGTCTGCTCCAATCAACGCCGCACCGCCGCCGAGCCGCCACCAGTGACCGCGGCTTTGCTCGCCTTTGCCGGGCTTCGCCGCAAACACAATAACTGCGCTGATGAGGCCAACTCGAGTCACTGGGTGAGAGGCTCCGAGTTTACCTCGCAGGGCCTTTCGTCTGCTAGACGTCCACTCCGTCCAGCCAGTCGGCCGGCCGGCCAGCGTAGCCAGCCACAGCCCCGGGCGGGACATGGCGGCGCGGTGCCCACGACGCGAGAAGCTCGGACCCTTGACGCCAGCAGACTCAAGTCGCTCTGTCTCTCTCGCCGGCAAAGGGAGCCCCATGAGTGCGAGAGAGACAGAGCGACGAAAACGACTCTGCAGCTTCGCGCTGCCTCGCTCTGCCTCGCTCCGGTTGCCGACGATGACGGACGAGGCGGAGGCAGGCCGAAGGACGGGGCTACGGAACGCGGCCGCGTGACACGAGTGCCAAAAGGCGGGATTGGGACGGACGGACGGATGGCGCGCCAAGGACAAGACGCCCCGGATAATGAACCGCGTCCCACGCCGAGAGGAATCGCCTTTTATTTTTATGGCGTAGGAAGCATCTGCTGGCCCGAAAATCCATTTAACAGTTCGAGCTGTGTCACTCACCGAACAGTACAATTGTGGACCGCCCCAACCACTCTCTGAACATACCTGCAAAAAAAGAACGCAACAAAATGAGTTTTACAAACAATTAGCAAAAAAAGGCGCGGACAGAAGTACAGACAGACAGGCAAAAAACAATGAGCCGAACTGGATTGTTATTTTTTTACAGAGGTACATATCGCCAAAGGGGTGCGGGCCAGACGGCCGCTCGCAGGCCAAGTCCGGCCAAGTCGGCTACCAGATCAAGGCCAAGGTCCGAGCGCATGGGGCACCGCGAGCCAACGCGAGCCACTGCACCGGGGCACCGGTCTCGCCCGGCGCAATGCAGCGGCCAAATTTCGAGGACCGTTCGTTTGCAGCATGCCGTTTGGAGAAAAGAACTGGATATCATTCTGCTAAAAAAAATATCGCGTTTAATGCGTAAAGAATTCATTTTTATGAATCGATCGGCTCTTTTTTCTTTTGTGGGCGCTGTTGAGGCATTTCGGGTAATTAAACATTGTCGATTCGGTTTTGCTGTTCCCGACGCGGCGGCCCTGGCCCTGTAGTCTGATTCCGAGAGGCGTTTTCGCCGGCCTGTCTCTCTCGCACCCTTCCGGGACGCCCCGTGAGTGCGAGAGAGACCTCCTCCTCAGAATCGGTCTGCTGCTGGCCTGGCTATCGGCCCGCCAATCACGAGACAGTTTGGGCGATTGCGGGCAGAGCCAGAGCCAGGGCAGTGCTGGGCAGTGCGCGATATGGCCGGCGGGACGGCCGGGACTGGCTGGGACTGGCCCACTGGCCACCCACGCGTCTTGCCTCACTGCCACCGATTCGTAGACGAATCGCAGCCAAACGCCGCAAACGAGCGGAGTGGTGGGCCAACCCGACATGACTCGCCGCGGCGCGCGTCGCCACCGGACACTCGATTATTTCATCAAACAAGTCCGCTCGCCAAAAGTTATCTTTGGCTGAACGCTGGGCGCGGCGCGGCCCGGGGTGGTGGGGGGTCTGCAGACTGATTCCCTGTCTCTCTCGCGCCGTCCGGACGCCGCCGTCAGAGCGAGAGGGACAGCGACGACAGCGGCGTGCGGCCCGCTGCCTGCCAACGCCACGCGACCTTGGCCGAGCACGCGCACGCCGGCGCACGCGTCCGGAGCGGCACGCGGTTCGGCCGCAGCCCTCGTGAAAGTGGCGGCGTCGCGGCGCCCCGGACGACGCCCCGGACGACGCCCCGGACCAGGAACAGGGCAGGGCGCCGCAGGGCAAGGCCGGGCAAGGTCGCGGCGCCGGGCACGAGGTGGTGGGACGCAAGCGAACCCGGCGCCGCACAGTGGATCTGCCAGAAGACCGGTGGAGGCGGTCGGAATCCCGGACGCGTTTTGAGCTCCAGAGTCGCTAAATGGGACTTGAACTGATCGTGTGACCCCACCACTGGATTGCTCTCCTAACGAGGAATCCATTCACACGCTCGGTTCGAGTCCTGCTGAGCGACTCCGAAGCTCAACACGCGCCTTAAGTTTTGGCCGCGTCCACCGGTCTTCTAGCCAACTGTTCAGCGCGGAACTGGACTGCTTCTGTTCTCTCCCAGATCGCCCCGACACGCCCTGGCGAGCCAGCAACACTGCGGCCCGCTGTCACAGCCCTACACATGACGCGCCAATTTTCCCGTTTCCCCCTTTTCGGCCCTCGCCCACGCCGCCCACGCCTTGGCCCGCGACGCATTGCGCCACGACCCCTGTTTACCCGCGAGCGCCCCGCCAGGCCCGCCAGGCCCGCCAGCGACTGCACGGTGCAATAATTGCAACGGCCGGCCCCCCAATGTCACGCGGACAGCACGGGCTGCGAGAGGAATGCTCGCAAGCGCCGACGGTCACGCCCCCTTGCTGCGTCCCAAGGGAAGTAACTCCAGCCAAATTTTTACACCGAAATTCATCAAACATGTAACATGCACTTGGTTCCTGCTCCGCGACCCCGCGCCGGAAAGTCGGAGAAATGCTCCCCTCCACTTATGACAGGGCGATCACTGCAGGCGAGCCAAAACGTGCGTCGTGGGGGCCCCCACTGGGGAAACGGGGAGGGGCCCCTTGCAAGGTCAGCGCGCCGAACCCCCAGAACCCCGGGCCTGAGCGCGGAGTATAAAACGCAGGGGGTCCGAGGCAACGCCACGACTCGTTCCCGGACCGTCAAGAAACCAACAATGGCATTCAAGGTACAGTGCTCCAGTGTGCAGTGGCAAAGTGAAGGTGGACAAGTGAAACCCAAAGTGAGCCAAAGTGACCGGGAAAGTGAGACAGAATCGAGAGATTCAATGACAAGTTTGTGAAGATTGATAACAACTCTTGCAGCATGGGATGTCTAACCCCTGCTCGTTTGCCCACAGCTTGTCCTCCTCGCCGCCTTCGTGGCCGCCGCCCAGGCCGGCGTCCTGGCCCCCGCCCCCCTGGCCTACTCGGCTGGCATCGCGCACGCCCCTCTGGGCTACGCCGCCGCCCCCGTGGCCTACTCCGCCCCCGCCTACGCCCACGCCGCCCCCCTCGCCTACTCCGCCCCCGTCGTCAAGAGCATCGCCGCCCCCGTCGCCTACGCCGCTGCCCCCGCCCCCGTCCTGGCCAAGACCGTCGTCGACACCGACTTCGACCCCAACCCTAGCTACAGCTACGCCTACGATGTGCAGGACGCCCTCACCGGCGACTCCAAGAACCAGCACGAGTCCCGCCAGGGTGATGTCGTCCAGGGCCAGTACTCCCTGAACGAGGCTGACGGCACCCGCCGCATCGTCGACTACACCGCCGACCCCGTCAACGGCTTCAACGCCGTCGTCCGCAAGGAGCCCCTCGTCCACGCCGCCCCCGTCGTCGCCAAGGTCGCCGCCCCCGTCGCCTACGCCGCCGCCCCCGTCGTCAAGAGCATCGCCGCCCCCGTTGCCTACGCCGCCCCCGCCGTGCACGCCGCCCCCGTGGCCTACGCCGCCGCCCCCGTCGTCAAGAGCATCGCCGCCCCCGTGGCCTACGCCGCTGCCCCCGCCTACGCCCACGCCGCGTACGCCGCCCCCGCCTACTACCACTAAGGAGTGACCACTGGTCCGGGACCCACACCACCATCCGTGGGAACCACAAAAATATAGCAAAATACAAAACATAATTTATTTGGAACAACTTTTTTATTCATTTCCTTTTGACACCCTGCAAAGATTTTTGGAGAAGGTATGAAGAATGGTTTGAAACCAAGTTGCGTATGTATGTGTAGTAAAACACATGCCTCCAAAAATTCATTCATTGCTGACCATATACCAGTAATGAAGCACCAGCGCCCTGCGATAAGTTTTAATGCTTTCCTATGCTAATTTTCGCTGCAAAATCAACAAGAAAAATTGAAGACAGGACACACCTGCCGGAAAAAAAATAATCATTCGTAAACCTATTAATTTTGCGATAGACTTGATGGCAAGCTGATTGAAATCGTGTCTGTTTGCACGGAACACGGAGCCCACAACCAATTAGAAATCTATCCGCGATGACGTCAGTCTAATCAAAAGCGTTACCGCGGATATAATTAACCCAGCCTAGCAGCAACACTGCCACACGATACAGCCAAGTTAGAGTGTTTTCATCGATGACGTCAGATACTCACGTGTGCCCGAGAGTACACCGCTCAGCCATGATATTAAACGGATATGAATAAACATGCAACATCGTCTTGAAATGCGCCAAAACAAAAGTAAACCTCATTAGGTCAGAAGGCCGCCCGACGCAGCCTGACGCTGGCTGCAGTCCCGCGGTATCGACCGGCGCCATCGACACCGCCCAATTATTGGCCGTTCAGTTCGACTGATGCCACAGGTCGTCCGTCTCCCTCGCACTCACGGGGCGTCCCGCAGGGTCCGCGGGGGTGCGAGAGAGACGGCGGCTTCCGCGTCAGGTGCGGGCGGAGGCATTAGCCGCAATTACGGGCCAATCGTGCTCCACGCCACAAAGGGCGGCGTCCAGGACCGCGCCGTCGGCGTGCACACTCGTTCCGAGAGCCGTTGTTTTCGTCGCCGTCTCTCTCGCACCTACACGGGACGCCTCACGAGTGCGAGAGAGACAGAGAGACGACGCTCAGTCTGCGGCCGGACGGCCTGGACGGGCCGGACGCGCTGCAGGAAGCCGTTCACGGCCTTGGCGTCGCGACGGCGGGGCGGCGGCCGGGTCCGCCCCGGGCAGCCGCAGCCACAGGCAGCCACAGGCAGCAGCCGCAGACGGGCGGCGCGCACAAGCGGAGCACTTTTCCTCGAGACGAAGACTGCACGGTCACTCCGTCCGTCCGTCCGCAGTGCTTTCGGCACCAGCCTTTGTTGTTCGGGGGAGCTACCAGGAACACCCACGATCCAGCGCCATCAAACAAGGGATAGCGCTGGATAGCGCAAATCATTGTCATTTATTTTTCTCGCCGCAAAGTGCTATGAATAAACACCAACAACTCCTGAGACGAAAAGCAAGAGGAAAGAAATGTCCAGCAAAATAGGGATACCGGTGAAAATTTTTGTTCATTTAATTTGTTGGGTGGGCCGACTTAGGTTTGGGAGTTTGAACTCCAATTTTGTTGCGCGTGCAGTTTGCTTCATGCGACCCCGCCTTGACGCGGCATGCACGCAGAAACGAACACAGAGAGCAAAGCCCCCGCCCCGCACACCCGCTCCAAACGCGTTTGTCTTTCCGTCCACAGGAAATGAAATCCAGTCACCAATCATGAGAACGCTGCGCCGGTCAAGGTGGGCGTTAAATGCAGTGCAACAAAATGTCAGTTGCGCGACCCCCGCAACGACTCACAAAGATAAACACCGGTAAAAATTAAGCCATGCTTGTGGAAGGAGACAAAAAGCACGAGGGAAAGGGGCACATCCAAGCAAAGAATATGCAGGGTCACCAAAATGTAGAAATAGCAAAAATCTGCTATGCTGACGATACTGTGTAAAAAAATGTTATTTTTGACCATTTAGCAAGCAATTTCTCCTTAGCGCAAAATTTACACCTGTCTTGCACCACATCTCATGGACGTTGCATAGCCAAACTGGCCACTGACGTGGTCAATCGAAGCCTATCACGCGTCCTGGACATGCTTTCCCCCACGACTACGGCGTGCCGAGGTGGGTGGGGCCAAGGTGGGGCCAAAACGGCGAGGGTGGGGCAGTGTGTGATGGGCCAGGGAGGGGCAGTGGGGCCACCAGGCAAGGTCATCCCCGAGCCCCCGGGCCCCCGGCGAACCCTCCGCCCGGAAGACGGCTCGGCCAAAGGCTCGGCCCGCCAGGTCCGCAAGTTGGTATAAAACGCAGGGGGTCCGTATCAACGCCACGACTCGTTCCCGGACCGTCAAGAAACCAACAATGGCATTCAAGGTACAGTGCTCCCGTGTGCAGTGAAAAGTGACCAGTGGCCAGTGAAACCGAGTGGAATAATCAAGACTCAAGAAAGTGTGACAGTGATAACAACTAGTGCGAGTCTAACCCCTGCTCGTTTGCCCACAGCTTGTCCTCCTCGCCGCCTTCGTGGCCGCCGCCCAGGCCGGCGTCCTGGCCCCCGCCCCCCTGGCCTACTCGGCTGGCATCGCGCACGCCCCTCTGGGCTACGCCGCCGCCCCCGTGGCCTACTCCGCCCCCGCCTACGCCCACGCCGCCCCCCTCGCCTACTCCGCCCCCGTCGTCAAGAGCATCGCCGCCCCCGTCGCCTACGCCGCTGCCCCCGCCCCCGTCCTGGCCAAGACCGTCGTCGACACCGACTTCGACCCCAACCCTAGCTACAGCTACGCCTACGATGTCCAGGACGCCCTCACCGGCGACTCCAAGAACCAGCACGAGTCCCGCCAGGGTGATGTCGTCCAGGGCCAGTACTCCCTGAACGAGGCTGACGGCACCCGCCGCATCGTCGACTACACCGCCGACCCCGTCAACGGCTTCAACGCCGTCGTCCGCAAGGAGCCCCTCGTCCACGCCGCCCCCGTCGTCGCCAAGGTCGCCGCCCCCGTCGCCTACGCCGCCGCCCCCGTCGTCAAGAGCATCGCCGCCCCCGTTGCCTACGCCGCCCCCGCCGTGCACGCCGCCCCCGTGGCCTACGCCGCCGCCCCCGTCGTCAAGAGCATCGCCGCCCCCGTGGCCTACGCCGCTGCCCCCGCCTACGCCCACGCCGCGTACGCCGCCCCCGCCTACTACCACTAAGGAGTGACCACTGGTCCGGGACCCACACCACCATCCGTGGGAACCACAAAAATATAGCAAAATACAAAACATAATTTATTGAAACTATTTATTTTTCTACCCTTTATGTCCTGGACAAACCGATGAGCAAAACTTGGTGTCATTTACGTCTTCAAACATCAATTAGATACATAAAAAAATGGCAGCGGTCCCAAAAAAAATCATTTTCTTTTTTCCGCTGATGAATTGCAGCTTTGGGTAATCCGGCCTGGCCGGCCCCGCGCTGGCGCGTGCTTCGGCGTGCCTCGGCGGGCCCACGGTGCCCGCGGTGCCCTAATCCGGACCGCCAACGCCCGCCGCCGGCCGCGGCCAAGGCGACTTGCATCGCCCCGTTCAAGGCGAAAACGGGAGGAAGTCGAAACCAGCTGTGCGCGAATTAAGTATAGTGGGCATGCAGTCGGAGCCGCAGCGCCACAGTCCGTCAGATGGTATCGGTGGGGCCCAGCGGCCGGCGGCCCGGCGGCCCGGCAGTGGCGTCCGTCCCGGAGTCGGGCCCGCGGCACTGCGGCGTGGGTGGACGTGCTGGCCCCTCAAGGCCCCCAAGGCCCACAAGCACGATAATATGCGTCGGGCCGGCCGGGCCGACAGGCAGACTGCCCCGACGATAGAGATCGACCCTCACCGGCTCGATTATCGAACCGAGAGCCTCGAATTGAGATCCAGCACCCGACATCATCAATGAATGGGCTATTAATCACAACTCGAAGGACCGGTAATTTTGCCAAACTGCGATATAGCAGCGCCTGGGAATTATCAATAAATAAAACGGATGCCTCCGACACCGTGCGGGAGAGGCGGCTTTACAATATTCTTGAAAAAATTCAGTCATGAATGGATGAAATTGCATACTAAATACCAGATAAAATACCTTCTAAACGGGTGCGTTTATAAACACCACATTAACGACAATACAATCTCTCAATATTCGTGACAGTGTACCCTTTTTTTCGGAAGCTTACGCCGGACCAGTGACGCCGACGCGACACCCGATCAGTGACTTCGATGGCTATCGAGACCTTACTCCACATAGCCTAACCGGCCGGCTGCATGGCACGGCGCGGCACGGCGCGGCGAGTTGTGAGGTGAACCACGCCACTCCGCGCCACGCCGCTGAAGGCAGGTCAGGTGATGTGAGTGAGAAACGGCTGGCCGGGCTTCGAGGGACATTGAAGTAAGGTGTGCCACAATGAGTCCCCGCCAGCTCGTCCAAACGCCGTTAGGCGATGTTCATCGAGTTTGAAGGCCGACAGGCGGCAGGCCGCCGGCCCACCGCGCCGTGGTTCTACAGCCAAGGGCAGTACAGAACAGTCCTTCAAACTACGGTGCGAGAAGGTGAACCAATGCAAATCAAGTCCGACGCGATGCCGATGCGCATTTGAACCAAGAGCAGGATTGTTAGACGGCCAGGCTGCCGGGCGCACGACGAGCCCTGCACACCAAGCCATCGCCATTGCCGACGACGCCCGCGCGACCAGACGGCGGAGGCTGGAACCCCGTCGCCGCATTTCGCGAGGCACTGCTTCGCGTTCGCGCCGCTACGAGCGCCACCGTCTGCCGCGGAGGTCACGAACACGCACTTGTGATCAATCTGGACCGTCCGGTTCTCCGGTTGGTCCGGTGTCCATGGCAACGGCCGGCCGCGTGCCTCCACGCCGAGAGCGAAAGTCTGACGCAACCGCCGCATCCTTCGAGGAGAGCAGTGTGTCATCCCAGCGTGCCATCGCAGCGCATCTGAAGGAGAAACAGCAAAGGACCCTCCCGACAGGACAGGCTCCTCGACAAGGAAGGGTCAGCACTGCGGCTGAATGCAAACCGTGCACTTCATGCGTAACCTACAACAAGAATGAGCCAAGTCCGCAAACCAGAGTAAACCCACTCTGCGTGCGTGTACGTGCATGCGGCCGGTTCATTGACTCGGCCGACCCTGATCTTGCTCACCGCCACTTGGCTAGCGTCTAGACGGCGGCAAGATTCCGACAGTTTGCATCAGCCGGCCAGGCCTGTCTATGTCAAGGGAGGCGCGCGCGGGATTTGAACTTGCACTTGAGGCGGTAAACGGCGGCGAGGCGAGCCAAACGACTACTGTACAGTACTCTCGCGCCAAGTAGGCAGAGCGAGGCGTGCATACTAGCCAGGACCGCCCGGCAGTGGCAATACCGGGCCCCGAAAGCCGTTCTCGCAACACGTGAAAAACACGTCGCAGTTACAATGAAAAGTGTGTACTGAGCACTTAGGTGTGTACACTCTAAAAGTCTCACGGTGAAGATTCTCCATATTATGGTGAAAATTTGAGTCAAGCATAGAGTTACGCTTGAAATGAAGCGTACTCGGGAAATTCCCCATGCATTTAGATCTTGGCGGATGAGCCTGATACGCTTGATTTCAAACGTCGACTGATTACGCTTGAAACCAGAGGGTAATACTACACTTTAGTTTTACCAGCGTTGACTGAATGACTCGAGAGCCTGGGTGCCAGTGGGTGCCGCTGGGTGCCGCGGCCAAGATCAAGGCCGCCATGAGGCCGCGGAGGATGACCCAGTGGGATGAGTCGGCCGCCCCCCTCCACGGGGAGTCTGCGGCGCCTGCAGAGGTTCAAGTTCAGGGCCGCGCGCGCGTCTCCGTCGGCCGGGGCCCACGGGCCAAGGGGGCCACGGGCCACGGGGGCGCCGTCTCGTCTCGGGGCAACGAACCGGGCGGACGACTCTTCCTTTGGGTCGACGATGACTCAGATCGGGAACATCAACACGGCCGGGTGACAAGGCAGACGCCGACGATGCCCACGATACACTGACAGCTACAGGTCAGGCAAGAAATGGCAAAAAGCAGTTTAAGAAATCAAAGAAGTATTTTTAATTATCGTTTGTAGATTCATTTAAATTGGTTTGTAAATGCTCTGTGTTCTGGAAGACATTTCGGAAAATTGTTACACTTTTAGAGCATCTCGTGAAGTGGCCAGGAAGGCCATAAAGGCACGAATATAGCAAATGCCCAACACAAGGATAGAAAAACTGCGTCCATCCTGGTTCCGAGTTTCACCGGCGGTGGCACAGCCAGGATGCTAGGCGCGGAATGCAGTGGCGGGCTGAAGACCGTTTAGACCACGCGTTTCGACTGGCGTTTCGACTGGTGTTTCGCCCCTCCAAGCCGGAGGTCCCCGAAGGCCACCCCCTCTATATTAGCGTGGCAGGGCGTGGCGGGCCTGGACGGGCGCGGCCAGGACACTAGTATATAAGCACAGGGTGCCGCTTGCAAGCCACGACTCGTTGCCGGACCGTCAAACCATCAACAATGGCTTTCAAGGTGAGCACGGCCAAACGCCACACTCAAAGCATCTAAACAATCATTAAGATTCAATTCAAAGCAAACACATTACTTCCGATTGATAGTAGAAACAAACGTGATAATGCATTTGTAGACTAATCAGAAAATGCTGTTAATTCAAATTTAAATTTCGAATTTTAAATTAACAAAACTAAACTTCTTTTTTCGCAGAAGGGCACTTATTTTTATAAAGTCACTGTAATGTCTAACCCCTGCTCGTTTGCCCACAGCTTGTCCTCCTCGCCGCCTTCGTGGCCGCCGCCCAGGCCGGCGTCCTGGCCCCCGCCCCCCTGGCCTACTCGGCTGGCATCGCGCACGCCCCTCTGGGCTACGCCGCCGCCCCCGTGGCCTACTCCGCCCCCGCCTACGCCCACGCCGCCCCCCTCGCCTACTCCGCCCCCGTCGTCAAGAGCATCGCCGCCCCCGTCGCCTACGCCGCTGCCCCCGCCCCCGTCCTGGCCAAGACCGTCGTCGACACCGACTTCGACCCCAACCCTAGCTACAGCTACGCCTACGATGTGCAGGACGCCCTCACCGGCGACTCCAAGAACCAGCACGAGTCCCGCCAGGGTGATGTCGTCCAGGGCTCCTACTCCCTGACCGACCCCGACGGCACCCGCCGTACCGTCGACTACACCGCCGACCCCGTCAACGGCTTCAACGCCGTCGTCCGCAAGGAGGCCATCGGTGTGCCCGTCGTCAAGGCCGTCGCCGCCCCCGTGGTCGCCAAGGTGGCCGCCCCCGTTGCCTACGCCGCTCCCGCTGCGTACGCCGCCCCCGCCTACGCCCACGCCGCGTACGCCGCCCCCATCGCCAAGGTGGCCGCCCCCGTGGCCTACGCCGCTGCCCCCGCCTACTACCACTAAGAAGCCAAAAATGTCCGGGACCTGCAAAACCCTTTGCTGGGACCACAAAAACAGAGCAAAATACAAAACATAATTTATTGACTATCTGTGTGTGACTGATTTGCTATTACCTTTGCCACCTGCCGAACAACAGTGTGGAGCCTCAACACGCATTGTCCGCGCGCGCTTGCCGCCTCGCCCTGCCTCGCCCACCGCGAGTCTGCGTGCGGAGGCACTCGAAAACTACAAATGAATTGGCGGCCTGCTGCTTGCCATTCATGAGCGCGGCTGCGATCCGCACCGCCGGGCGCACGACGCGGCACGCGCGTGACGCCGTCCGCCAGGCTCAACCGTCTCTCTCACACTCTCGGGGCTTCCCGTGGGGGCACGAGAGAGACAGGGTGACCGTGAGTGACACTGTTTGGTGGCGTCGGAACGAATGGGGGTCTCGCGGGGTAGCGACGGCTCGGCGCCGAATCGCGCGCATGGGTCCCTTCGCGGACAAACAAAACAAACTTGAATGAAACCAATAAATCAAAAATGTGAGTGAACGAAGCCGTGTCGGCATCATTAGGCCCTAGCGGCCCTAGCGGCCCTAGCGGCCCTTGCACCTCGCGGTCGATGAACTCGGCCGACAACTGAGGCCACGTCACGACGGTGGTACAAAGCGATGTGGAGGGGAGTTCTTTATACGCATCCCATACGCGTTACGCAACAGGCGTCGTGCGCCGCGAACGCATCAAAGGCGCGGCCTACGTGATCCTTGGTACCGCCGCGGCGCGCGCGAAAAAACAACAACCGAAAAAACAGCAACGCGCAGCTACCCCGCGCCACCGCGCCCGCGCGCGGAGTATCTGCGAAGGAACTGGCCGCCAAAAAACGGCCGCGCCCGCGGTGGTTCCAGTCCGGAGTACAGTCGTTAGCGCACGTGGGGTATCGCCAAAGTCAATGTCGCCGGGTGCACGCGCGCTCTCAGAACTGCTTGGCCCGCGGGATTCGTTCACGTGGAGTAGCGACGAAAGGGTTGCGGAGAAGCTGAGGCATGGTCAGCTGCGGATGCCAATCCAAAATGGAAATCAAAGCCCTCAGTTCTTTGTCACAGCTATCGATTTTTAGCAGATGACACCTTTCACTTTAAACATACCCAAAGGTACAAGACACATTTAGGTGACAGGGTGCTATTGAAAACAGAAACCGGATTATGTTGCATTTGACTCAACAATTTTAAACAAAAAGTTAATCCGAGGCTAACCTTCGACGCCATTCAGCGTCTGAAAACTAGTGTCAAAAACATTTTCATAAATGAACAAAAACGTGGAACTGGAATTGGGCCCTGGGCCAGCGCGACGCCGCGACGCACTGGGGGCGTGGTGCAGTGAGCGCAGTGCGGCGCAGTGCAGCGCCTCGGGTGCAACGCACTGTATTACGTGAACGTATTACTCGCCCAAGGTCACGGTCGCAGGGTGGCGGCGCGGCCGGCCAGCCAGCCAACCGGCCAGGCAGCCGGCCGGCCAGCGGGCAGGCGAGAGTGGGGCGAAAGGCGGAGTGCCGTCTCGCTCCCTCCGAGCCCCACTCGCACCGCACGGCGTGGGAGCAGGAAAAAAAACACTGCAGCAAAGATGCACTGCGGAGAAGAGGGGGGATGCCTGTTCAAAGGGCCTAGGCGGCCCTAGGCACGGCCCTACCGGTATAAATACGGGGCCCTTCGTCTGGGCCGGCAAGTTGCACTAGCTTCGCCGAGGCAAGAGCACACACACACACTCAGCATGGCGACCACCAAGGTGAGTGTCTTCCGGAGCGTTCCGTGCATCCAGGCTTCAGCTGCCATCCAGAAAATGCTGATTAGTGCTTAAATATTCATTTTTTGGGAAAGGAAACTGGCCAGAGTGCTAAGACGTGCCTTGTGTTGTTCCCTAAGATCCTCTTCGTGGCGGGCTGCCTGGCCGCCGTCCACGCCGGGCTCCTGCCTTCAGAGACGCCCGTGGGCTACGCACCAGTGGGCTACGCCCCCGTCGAGCACGTTGCCTACGACCACGCCGCCCCCTACGCCACTGTCGAGCAGGCAGCCCCTGTGGCCTACGCCGCCGTGGACCACGTCGCACACCCCGCCCCGGTGGCCTACGCCGAGCCCGTGGCACCCGTGGCCTACGCCGCCGCTAAGGGCATCGTCTCGGGCGCCGTCCCCTCCTACGCTGCCGTGCCCGTGGCCTACACCGCCAAGTCCCTGGAGTACGACCCGCACCCCGAGTACAAGTTCTCGTACGACGTCAAGGACGACTATACCGGTGACTCCAAGAGCCAGCACGAGAGCCGCAGTGGTGACGTCGTCCACGGCTCGTATTCCTTGGACGACCCTGACGGCACCCGCCGCACCGTGGACTACACCGCCGACCCCGTCAACGGCTTCAACGCCGTGGTCCGCAAGGACCCCCAGGCTCCCAAGTACATCGTCCCGGCCTACGCTCCCTACCACCACTAGTAACTGCGCCCACAAGCCATTCATAGAAACAAAGCCGCAGACAAATTCTGTCGCAGTTTGTATCTTGTGTCCCAACTGTTCAACATGTTTGTCTCCAATGCGGTACGTTCTATGGCATCTAGTGGGAAAGACTGCGAGGGACACTTAGTCCCCGTTTCCAAGACTGAATATCCACTAACTAAACAATGGTTGGCAGCCTTTTGTGATAACGTTTTGACGGCAGTGTAGTCGCGTCGCCTCGGGCAAGGCCCGGCGGAGCGACCCCGTATTCGGCGCGATCGGACAGGCAGGTGAAAAATGACAGCAGCCAAAATTAGAAGCGGGTATTCACCGCCTGGCCTGCACTGCCCGAGCGGCCCAAGCGGCCCTTGCACGCGTGCAGCAAGTTCCTACCAACATGCCCTTGTTGTTTTCCGAAGCGATCTCCTGTTTATGGTTGAAAATGAAGTAAACGCGTAAACAAAACTGAAGCCTCTTTTTCGTTCCTATATTCCCCAGACATCGAACACAGACGCACTCAGCAGAAACTGCGTTCACTGAGACACGCCATACCGCCATAGGGGGCGTTAAAAGGGCTCATCCTGCTGTCCAAGTAGGGACCCTCGCCGCACTGACACACTGCCAGGACAATGCAGTGGCATTGAGAAAAGAAAAAAGACCAAAAAGAAAAAAAAATGGGGCAGCGTAGCGGCAGCGCACCGGGCCGGGCCAGAGCTGCGGTGGGTCAGGCTTAGTCAGGCGGGACGCGCGGGACGTGCCCCCCAAACCGGTCCTGAGTGCCTTCGACCACAAAACCGGATCATTTTGCAAGACGCCGCTGCTGCCGCCTTGCAGCCTGCAAAGTCAAGCAGGCCGGGCCAAGCAATTCAAATTTCCACAATTAAGCTAACAAGTAAAGCACGTATTCGAGTTAAATTTAAAGTTTTCCGAAAGGCAGTGCAAGTAACATGAAACTTCAAACTTAGCGCAAAACCAACGCACAATTTGAAATAAAGCCACGGGCATCCCTTGTTGAGCCCTGTCACACGCTTAACCGCAACAAAAAAATAACTCCTTGTTCAGGTATGCAGTAAAATCCTAAATCAACGACACTTCAAAAATTTTAATGAAACTTACAGATTACGACACAACGTACTGTTAAATTAGCATGTTGAACCGCTGAAACAAAATAAATTGATCCGACAAGCGTCCTGCACCTCCGCCTTCCACCGGGCTGGCGGTCGGGCCGGACCCATCGCAGCGCATCATGCTGTGCGGGGCGGGCCAGGGGCGGGCCCGGAGAAGCACCATCACGATGGGTGGGGGCTGGTGGGGGTGGTGCCGGTGGAGGGGCAGCCAGGGTGCTGCGGTAGTGGCACACAATGCCCAGCCGAAGCGCGGCCCGCTGCTGCAGCGGTGGACTAGCAAGCCCGGTATATAAACTGGCCGGACCCACTGGGCCAGCATCAAACCCACCCAAAGCTCCACCAAGCAAGCACCATGGCCTTCAAGGTAAGTCCGGGCCGAACACACAGGTCGGGACAGGACCGCAGTTTCCACTGGCCGCCTCTAACGCTTCGTGCTTCTGACCCACAGTTCGTCGTCTTCGCCGCCTGCGTGGCCGTGGCCCGTGCTGGCGTCATCGCCCAGGCCCCTCTTGGCTACGCCGGCTACGCCGCCGCCCCCGCCCCCCTGGCCTACGCTGCCGCCCCCATCGCCAAGGCGGCCGTCGCCGTCGACACCGACTTCGACCCCAACCCCAGCTACAACTACAACTACGACATTCACGACTCCCTGACCGGCGACGCCAAGAGCCAGCAGGAGTCCCGCCAGGGAGACGTTGTCCAGGGCTCCTACTCCCTGGTTGAGCCCGACGGCAGCCGTCGTACCGTCGAGTACACCGCCGACCCCGTCAACGGCTTCAACGCCGTCGTGCACAAGGACGCCCCCGCCGTCGCCGTCAAGGCCGTCGCCGCCGCCCCCGTCGCCTACGCCGCCCCCGCTGCCTACGCCCACGCCGCCCCCGTCGCCTACTCCGCCCCCATCGCTAAGGTGGCCGCCCCCGTCGCCTACGCCGCCGCCCCTGCCTACGCCCACGCCGCGTACGCTGCCCCCATTGCCAAGGTTGCCGCCCCCGTCGCCTACTCCGCCGCCCCCGCCGTCGCCGTGGCGTCCTACTCCTCCCCCTACACCACCTACCACCACTAAAGTGTGATCAAATAGTCATTTTGTGTTCGTCCGGCCTCGCTGAACCCGACTGTGAACAGTGATAGACAGAGATCTCCAGCGGAGCCGTCAACTTCATGTGTCACCCATTCGTGTACGTTCTAGTACACTGCCATCATTCTCAATAAAATGAGATAAAGTCAACATTTCTGTCTTTCAATGTGAAGCAATTAACGTTGCCCTCCTAATGTCCCTATCCCATAAAGAATACACAATGGAAAAGAAAATGCCTTTTTTGAAACAAAAACTAACAATTTGGACTGGTATTTAAAAAAAATTGATTAAAAAAACAAGACATTAACACTGCCGGCACAGAGTCCTTTGCAGTTGTTTCATTAAAACACGAACAAAAATTTTCAACGTGAGGAGAGTCCAGCTTATCTGGCCGTCAGCCTGCCAACGAGAGGCTAGGCCACCCGCCGCACAGAGGCGATAAGCGTGAGGCCTAGCGGCCGTCCTCGGGCGCTCTCAAGGTGAGGCCCATTGCGCAACCACTCGCACTTTCAGCCAAAGCGACTCACCGGCACGGCACGCCAAGACACGGAGCCACTGACCTGCCAACCAAAGAAGAGGAGCGTTAGAAGAGAGCAGCGCAGAACACACTTTCACATTACAGATTTGTCGTGATGAGACGAACGGACGGCTGCTCTGGTTTCATAATTTTAAGGACAAGGTATCGCCATTTGGTAAAAAAATGCAATTCAATATGAATACACTAGTTGATGTGTGAAATTTGAGACAAATTTAGAACGTCTGTGCTCCGCACCATTTTTTTGCAAGAAGACAACTATATACCCACACGTCGAGACACACGTTTGAAACCTTATTAAGTATTTTGAGCATGTAAGTTAAAAAGTATTTACTGTGTGACACGAAAAAAAATTCGTAAATTATGCAGTATTATCTTCGCAAGCTTATATGTGCTCAAAATACTTCGTTGTAATAAGCTACATTCGTTTGTAAATCCGAAAAAAGTTTGTGAGGTTTTTAAAGTGCAAGTCCCTGTAAGTTGGGCTCCTGCGGCGAGCTGAAAGGCAACCATGTGACTCGCGCCCCCCGCCAACAGCGGCGTAGGCAACCCAACTCTCATGCAGGGCACTGGAGCAACAGCTCTGCGGGCAAGTGAGGCCCAGGCCCGCCTCTACAAACGCGTCCACGCAGCGCCGTCGAGGCTGGCAGCCCAAACTACGCGACCGAGACACGCCTTCACGGCCACGGTGCCGAGAGGGGCCGCGAGGGGGGAGGGGCAGGGTCGGACCGGTCGTGTAATTGGAGCAGTCTGCAGACAGAGCAGCGTTTTCGGTATTGGCATTTTTATACCACTCTCGGTTTCAAGTTCGTCCCGGCCGGCTATCACCCCAAGGCGCACACAAAGGCAGCAAGGCAGCCGGGGGACGAGAAAAATAAAAAGACGGCGATGCAGCCACCGGCGTGTCAGCGGCCAAAACCGCGTCGCCCACACCGGGTCCGCAGGGGCCGTCCGACCAGACAAAGGGGCCTGGCCCGTAAACAAGAAACACGCCGGGTTTCGACAAGCCGCGCCGACGGCCGGGTCAGACCAGCCAAGCATTTGTACGCAGATCAACACATTCTTTTATTCTGAAACAATTATCCCTACTGAAAAAAACTAATAGTGTAGCATTTTAAAAAAAGGACCGTTGCCAAGAAGTCCCCGCTGACACAGCGCATTGCTGGCAATGGGGATCTCCCAGGACCGTGCGGAACGGAGCGATTCCCAGGAACGGCCGGCGGTGCAGTGTGTCAGCGTGCCTGTGTGCGCACGCGAGGGTGGAAGAGGCAGGGGCAGCCAGTTGCCTCACACCCAGCATCGGAAATTGACCGTTAATTATACAGTGCGGCTGACTGCATGCCGCAAAAACGCACCGAAGCAACCATCTTTATCGCCCAAAAAGTGGTTGTTTTCTGCGAGCGCAGTTGGTGTGAAGTGCGCTTTGTTATAACCGTGCCAACAAACGCACAGTTGGCTAGAAGACCGTTAAACGCGGCCAAACAAAACTCTTGACGCGTTTTGAGCCCCACGCTAAACAGGACTCGAAACAAACGTGTGACACCCCACCAATAAATTTCTCCTTCAGAGAGCAATCTATTGGTGGGGTCACACGTACGGTTCGAGTCCCATTTCACGACTCTGGAGGCATCCACCGGATCCACCGGTCTTCTGGCCCACTGTGCGTCCCAAACGCGCCGCGTGCCCTGCATACAAGGGCCAGCTTTGGCGCGCACTGCAGTGTTGGCGGTTGCCCCACGGATTGAGTGTCCGCCTCGCACTCCACCCGCTTCGCCCTGTCATGGCGGCCAATGAAGCCGCGGCTCGCAATTAGCTTTCATTAGAAACAACTGGCGAGCGAGCCCCGCCTGCCTCCGCCTGCCCCACCGCACGCCGGATAACGCCGAGTCAATTTTCATTGCCCACACACACGTCATTTTCCCGCGCTTGACACTTTTTTCTGGTTCCGGCGTCCTTGTCGAATTGGCGCCATTTTTCTCAAACCAGTCGCAGAGCAATGCAAGCAATGTGCCAAGGCTGGCCCCGATTGTTTTGTCGCGCGTGCTGCGCGCGCCGGTGGGCGGCCGGGAGCTCCAACAATATTGACCTAGGGCGTAACACACAGACCTTCGTCTGGAGTGGCGCGAGGAACGCCCATCTTCAACCATCGGAAAAATTCACACGTCGAGCTATTTTTTTTTTTTTTTGGAGGGCATGGCTTTGGTGAGCATGCGTGCGAAGGATTGTTCGGGCGAATTCGTAGGGACTGGATCGCGCGAAGGTGTGGACGGTGACTCAGATAGTGAAGAAACCATCCTGGAGATAATCGGGTGCCGAATCTCTCGCGATTCTGAGCGGCGCCCGGCAGCCCAGCTACTTAATCGGGCGGGTTGCTCGCACGGCCGGACGGCCGAACGAGCCGAACGCCTCGAGGTGGCCGCGGGCGGTAGAGTCCCCTCTATGTTGGGAAACCATCTGCCCCAATTTGGGCGGTAATTGCATTGACAAAGCAAAGCCCAATAAGGTGGCGTTTTTCGGCGAAACTATGGCGACATCAACCAAGGTTTGGGGTTCAGACTGCACTATTCCCCCTTTCTCATCCCTATTTTTATTGTTTTATTTTTAAATGGCATGCACGAACACAGACAAAATTTGACCGTAAAAATCAGCGCCTGGAAGAACAAACTATTCGGCTAAGTGCCGAACAGCATTGCGGTATGAGAAAGTTACGCGTGCGCACAATGAGATTGAAATGAACGTCAAGATACAGTTGACACTTGCCCCGCTCGCGCGGCCCAGTGCGGAAGGCTGTCAATCTTAAAGTGCCGCAACTGATACCCAGAAAAAAATATTTCCGTGTAACAATTTTTTTCTGCACGGTATTGACATAGTTATTGGCATGCACTTTCAATCATTGATTCCCTTACCGGGCACCAAACAAAGAGTGAGGCGCTTCCTTGCGCCCCACACGGAACATCGCTCGGGCCCCGAAACCGGGTGGGAGGGGGCCGTCCCGGGCCGTCCCCACGGGCCCCCGCTACCCCCGAGGGCCCCCGCCGGCGGCTCGCTTCAAGTGGTTCGCAACCGACGTTGATTTTGTATAAAGGCCCGGGGAGGCGAGAGACCGTTACTCAGTCCCCAGCAGCACCCGTCAAGCACGCACGCAGACACCATGGCGTTCAAGGTAGGCCGAGTAGCAGGGCAGCGCGCACAGCGCTCATCGACTTGAGTCATCAAATTGTGTTTACATTAGGGTGACATTTCTTTCAGCTCATCGTTCTGGCAGCTCTTGCCGCTATGGCTCACGCTGGAGCCATCGGCGTAGCTACTCCCGTAGCTACTCAGTACGCCACCCCCGTCGCCCACGCCTACGCCGCCCCCGCCGTGGTGCACGCCGCCCCCGCCGTCGTGCAGAAGAGCGCCGAGTACGACCCCAACCCCAGCTACGCCTTCGAGTACAGCGTGTCGGACAGCCACACCGGCGACGACAAGAGCCAGCACGAGTCCCGCCAGGGCGACGTCGTCCAGGGCCAGTACTCCCTCAACGAGCCCGACGGCACCCGCCGCACCGTGGACTACACCGCCGACCCCGTCAACGGCTTCAACGCCGTCGTCCACAAGGAGCCCGCCCACACTAAGGCTATTGTCGCGCACGCCGCCCCCGCTGTGCACGCCACCTACGCCGCTGCTGCCCCCGCTGTCCACACCACCTACGCTGCCGCCACCCCTGTGGTCCACGCCGCTCCCGCTGTCCACGCTACCTACGCCGCTGCCCCCGTCGCTCACGCTAGCTACCCCGTCGCCCACGCCACCTACGCCGCTGCCGCTCCTGTGGTCCACGCTGCCCCCGCTGTCCACACCACCTACGCTGCTGCCACCCCTGTGGTCCATGCTGCTCCCGCTGTGCACGCTACCTACGCAGCTGCCCCCGTCGCTCACGCTAGCTACCCCGTCGCCCACGCCACCTACGCCGCTGCCCCCGTCGCCCACGCCACCTACGCTGCTGCCGCGCCCGTCGTGCACGCCGCTCCCGCTGTCCACGCTACCTACGCCGCTGCTCCCGTCGCTCACGCTGCCTACCCCGTGGCCCACGAGACCTACGCTGCCACCCCCGTAGCCCACGCTACCTACGCCGCTGCCCCTGTGGCCCACGCCACCTACGCCGCTGCCCCCGCTGTCCACGCCACCTACGCTGCCACCCCCGTGGCCCACGCTACTTACGCCGCTGCCCCCGTGGCCCACGCCACCTACGCCGCTGCCCCCGTGGCCCATGCTACCCTCGCACCCACCTAGGGCACGCTGCCCCCGTCGAGTTCCATCATTAAGTTGTGCTAGACTTGAGGTGCACTGCTGTGCCTGTTTTGTAGCTACCTAACACGCTGCTGTGTTCACGTAGTACCCCGTGCTTCTCAACCTACCCCCCTTCGAATGTGCTCACATACTAGTCACTTGCCCACGCACAAATTACGGTTGCATCCGTCCGTGACGCACACAGTCCTCCCCCCGGGGACGCCACCTAGCCGCTGCCTGTGGCCCATGATAATCCTCGGCCGCGCCACGAACGTCGATTTCTTCATTAATGTGATGATTTATTGGGGGTCGTTCTGATGTGACTGTTTAGAAGAACCCCAATAAATTCGTGTGAACAAGGCCAACTCCCAACCGACTGGGCTGTCTACGGCCTCCACGGCCACCGCCGCGCTGCCCGCGCAATGCACGCCACCGCACGCATCGCGAGGAACGACCCGGGCAGTCCATTGGTCTCCGCCACGGTCTCCGGCGACACAGCGACACACTCATAACGATCCTATCTCTGCGTGTAGGTCAGGCCAGTGGCTGCACCAAGGCCCGCTGCAGGAAGCGCGCGGTGCAGTAGGAAGTGGCGCTCTTGCATTGTACGCCCCTCGCCCGGCCTGGTCTCTGCTCACGAACGACCCGGGGGCTTCCAGGGAGGGCGCGTCGCGCGAACAATGAGCCCAAGCCCTCTGCTGGGAGACACTGAAAAACTCAATAACAGCGCCACTGACCAAAATTACCGTGGCTTTCCCAACTCACGGAAATAAAGACTCGAAACCAGCACGTTTCGTCGTCATACACTTTAGCGTGGGTTCCGACATATTGCCGGGCATCGGCCCTGTGCATGACTGGGCGGGGTCAAATCTAGAGCGCGGCCATGGGACCCTTGCCCTCGGCCCCGAAATACACTGCGCCGACCGGACGGGCGCGGGAAGCGCGACGCCTCCCTTCACTGCCAAAGTTCCAACGACCACCACGTGACACCTTCATTCGCCCAGGGTATCTCTAAAGAACAACGTATTTTCATTAATTTTTTGTTCGTTTGAGTGAATGTGTGCATTTCATTTAATTTCTGCGCTCTTAGATCACAGACGAACACGTAATGCGGACTTGATTGTGCTGAAATAAAATGGGGCGTTTGAGGGGCCGCCTGGCGCGCCGCAGCTCGTTGCCGATTAGAAGCGCCGAGCCGAACCCCGCCGCCGTCGCCGTGCATTGTTGCGACACGAAGTTGATTCATGGAACGAATCCCAAAGCGCTCTACTCCGTCTGGAACGCCCGCCCCGCCCCGCCCCAGCCAGTCCCACTCAACGACTCCCCGGCCAGACAGAAACTAACCGATCATCAGCGGAAACAAACTCCAGCGAGGGGATCGCACCGACCTTTTCCTTTTATTACACGAATCACTGCGTTTTCTTTTATTTGTCACGCAGCCCGGTGTACTCTCGACTCCAGCTGCAAACGGCCCGTCCAAGGCAAGATCGGAGCGATCGGAAACAGGTAAAGGACCACAATGGAAAAACAGGACCTCCATAAAAAGGCGGGCAGGGGAAAAAAACCTCGCTGGAACATCGCCAGGTTCTGCACCCCCCGAAACTTCAATACAGGACTCGTTGCCGTAAAGTCCCTGCTGTCACCAACACTCAACGCGACCAAGGTCTGCAGCAACGATGCACTCCAGCGCGCTTAAGGGATCCATCACGCATTTTATCGCTGCTCCAAGTGACTCGGAGCCGGTCACTAGGCCACTGCGCAGGAATCTACGTGCGTTCTAACCGCCTGGCTACTTTCTTTTCTCCCCCAAAACGACAAAGGAACACAAACTAGCACTGTTTTTCAAACACACACAAAAAAACAGCCGTTTGCGAGCGAGGGGCCTAAACCACTCAAATAAACGACCGCCATACATCGTTAACTTTTAATTTTAGGGTTATGGCGCAAAGAATGAATATAATTACAAGGCCCCGCACGGCCATAGTGATCACCCAGTGCGGTGCCGCGCTGCTGCGCTGCCGTGAGGTCAGGGGGAGTGGCCGGATAGTGGCCGGCGGCAAACGAGACGCACGGCCCGAGCATTGAGAGCTCGCCGAAGTGACATTTGCCGTGTGTGCGCACTTGAGGTGCATGAATCGCTTCCGCGGTCGACACTCCAGTCGCTCCCCCCGCTTCCTCCCTTTCCGCGCTACGCTACGCCAGGCCGAATGGCCGCCGCCCTACGCGACGATGCGCCACCTGTCTGCCAAAGATTGACAGAGTGCTGCACGGCCCGCCGCCACGCCCAGCGGAGCGGCGACGTGGGCCAGGACTATGGGCCCGCGGGCCTATGACCCTGACATGAAACGCCATGAGCGTTGGCCGTGGCAAGGCGGCGCGGTGAGGCGGGGCTGGGTGTGGCCGGCGGCCGGCCGGTTATTGGTCACTACCGGAGGCTCGGCTTGGCGGGAAACGATAGACGGGGCGGAGGGGCGGCCCAGAGGCCCAAAGGCCCGAAATGCACGTGGACCGCGGGGACCGAGGCGGCAGGCCGGGCGTGTCAACGGCGGGGAGGCGGGGGGCGGGGAGCAGGCTGGAGGGGCATGCATCACCTATATAACGCGCCGCGGCCGGCCATTCAGCACAGTCAGCCACAGACAGCACCACCATGGCATTCAAGGTGGGTCCCAAAGGATAACGCAGCTTTAAAGTGAACCTCAAGCAACGTTGTGCATCGCAGTGCTAACAGTGCATCAGTGAACAGTTGGAAAACAGTTCGGGTTCAGAAAATAGTGTAGTGAAGTGCGCGTGCCGTCTTTAAGACTCATTCTTAAACGTTTTTGGTTTCTGTTCTCAGTTCGTCGCTTTCGCCGCCCTCCTGGCCGCCGCCAACGCCGGAGTGGTGCCCGCCGGCCCCGTGGCCTACGCCGCCCCCGCGGCCTACGCTCACGCCGCCCCCGTGGCCTACGCCGCCCCTGCTGCGTACGCCCACGCCCCCGTGGCCCACGCCTACGCCGCCCCCGCTGCGTACGCCCACGCCCCCGTTGCCTACGCCCATGCCCCCGTCGTCGCTAAGGCCGTCGCCGCCCCCGTCCTCGCCAAGACCGTCGTCGACACCGACTTCGACCCCAACCCCAGCTACAACTACGCCTACGACATCCATGACTCCCTGACCGGTGACAACAAGAACCAGCAGGAGTCCCGCCAGGGAGACGTCGTCCAGGGCTCCTACTCCCTGGTTGAGCCCGACGGCACCCGTCGTACCGTCGAGTACACCGCCGACCCCGTCAACGGATTCAACGCCGTTGTCCACAAGGAGGCTGCCCACGCCGTCGTCAAGGCCGTTGCCGCCCCCGTCGTCGCCAAGGTCGCCGCCCCCGTGGCCTACGCCGCCCCCGCCTACGCCCACGCCGCGTACGCCCCCGCCGTCCACTCCTACGCCGCCCCCATCGCTAAGGTGGCCGCCCCTGTCGCCTACTCCGCCCCCGCCTACGCCCACGCTGCGTACGCCGCCCCCGCCGTCCACTCCTACGCCGCCCCCGCGGTCCACTCCTACGCCGCCCCCATCGCTAAGGTGGCTGCCCCCGTGGCCTACTCTGCCGCCCCTGCCGTCTACTCGGCTTCCTACGCCTCCCCCTACGCCACCTACCACCACTAGAATCCTATTGTAATAATTTATGGGCTTCGCAACTGCCATCACCTATTGTGAAAATAGAAATGTGATAGTGTATGTTTTAATACACAAAACCAAATAAACAAATTATTTAAAACAAATCATATTTTTTCTTTTCCTGTCTAAATGGTCATAGAAGATATTAAATGGAAACTGCTTTCATACACCTACATGAAATTATTACAGAAGTTGTAGACGTCACTGTAAAAAGAGGATGCAACAGAAAGAGTCTCTAAAGTCAAGTTTATCTGCTAGTTTTGAGGGGCTTTAAATAATGGAACACACCTTGTCTTGGAAAAGATAAAATTTTAAAGCTTAGGTGCTTTTGGGGTCTGTTCCTGGCGTCTACTGGAGCAGAAAATAAAAAGAAGTATCACCCGCACGCTCCAACAGCAGATTCAGCTGTTTGGCTGTTTTTTGTGGGGCCAAAAACTCACTGCACCCGGAGACCTTAACGCCGGTAAAGACGACAGACCTCCGTCGTATCACGTGCAAACGCACTACGAATAAAGACTGTTGCGTTGTCAAAAGAAAACGTGGCATGCAACACAAGACACCTAAAACGGCTTAAACATCAACTATACATAGGTGTCTCGCTATTCAAAGTGAGGCATCCTACCAAGTTACAAGTTTTTGCGAGTGGCACAGTTTGCTTCACTTGGCATGGTTGCCCATCGTCGCAACACAAACAAATAGCAGGGACCACTAATTTATCTTACCAAAGCAAATACATGTATTTCCAAATTAAATTTTGGGTTTTGAACGTAGGGGAAAGATGACAGATGTATGGATTCACAGTAAAAATAAAGGAATACTTTGCATTTATTGACCAAGCATTAGGCACTGTTGAAGGTTGTTGTAGAGAACAAAGATATTCAAATGAAGAAGACTGAGGTTAAAAGCAGCAATTTAAAAAAAACGCAATTGGGCTGCACGAAACAGGGTCACGGTTGTCAAAAAATGGGAAACACGAACTTCAACTATTTGCAAACACGGCAAACAACGCTTCATGTCCATTTTATTTGAACATTTCTACCAACGGGCTAGTGGTGAGACGCTTGGTGTCTGCGTTTCAAACAACGAAACGCTACTGTTACCTTAAAAGACAACAACAATTTAATACTACAATTCACAGCCCATGGTTTTCTTTTAAAAAGGTAGAACAACGAAAGATCCTGAGTTTTTAACCAATGACCCTCACAAAGTTGCATTAAAAAGCAGGCGGTCACGAAGCGGGCAGATTCTGACAAGGACCAAGAAGGACCGGACGGGTCCACCGGTCAATTGGGGAGGGGAGAGTGGTCCAGGCGGGAGGGGCGCTTGGTGTATATATATCGCGGCGCGAAACAGGAGCAGGCACAGTCACCGACACAGCACAGCCATGGCTTTCAGGGTACGCACAAAAATGCAGATACTGGACCGCGGGCAGAAGAGTGGTTCCTGGTGTGGCCACAACGTTAACTAACCACGTCATTTTCTGTCTCCAGTTCGTCGCCTTCGCCGCTCTCCTGGCCGCCGCCAGCGCCGGAGTGGTGCCCGCCGGCCCCGTGGCCTACGCCGCCCCCGCGGCCTACGCTCACGCCGCCCCCGTGGCCTACGCTGCCGCCCCCGTGGTTGCCCACGCCAAGACCGTGGTCGACACCGACTACGACCCCAACCCCAGCTACAACTACGCCTACGACATCCAGGACTCCCTGACCGGCGACGCCAAGAGCCAGCAGGAGTCCCGCCAGGGTGACGTCGTCCAGGGCTCCTACTCCCTGGTTGAGCCCGACGGCAGCCGTCGTACCGTCGAGTACACCGCCGACCCCGTCAACGGCTTCAACGCCGTCGTGCACAAGGACGCCCCCGCCGTCGCCGTCAAGGCCGTCGCCGCCCCCGTCGTCGCCAAGGTCGCCGCCCCCGTGGCCTACGCCGCCCCCGCTTACGCCCACGCCGCGTACGCCCCTGCTGTCCACTCCTACGCCGCCCCCATCGCTAAGGTGGCCGCCCCCGTCGCCTACGCCGCCCCTGCCTACGCCCACGCCGCGTACGCCGCCCCCGCCGCCTACGCCAAGGTGGCTGCCCCCGTCGCCTACTCCGCCGCCCCCGCCGTCGCTGTGGCGTCCTACTCTTCCCCCTACGCGACCTACCACCACTAGAAACCAATTTTAAAAACTTAGTAGACGCCAGAGATGCGACTTAAGTTGCAACCCCTGACAAAAAAATTAAATAAACAAATTTAAAACCCAACTCTTTGTATTGTCCTTGAATCGTCGACTTTTCCCTCTATTTGAAACAATTTCACTGGTACAGGGGGTCTTTGAAGAAATGCATACGAGTACGTACTAGTACAACAAATCGTTTCTATGACAGCTGTCATTTACAGAACACGAAAAAGATCAACGCTTCCAGAAGGGGAAGCCAAATTGGCGAGGGGTCTGCCACTGACTAAAATTATGTACAACTGAGAAAGCATAGTGCGTTTCCACTCAATTCAGTCATGCTTTTTGCCAACTTGCAGGCGTTTGTTTCACAAATCGCCAGCGTACGACGTTTCTCATCTAAAATCTAATCGAGTGGCAGTGAGTGTAGGCTGGCTTCGTTCAATGAGTGCAAAAAGTGGCAGACGCCTTGCAAGTGTACCGCGAAAAATCCATACCTAACGTAATTCTTGGCAAATGCAGAGTACTTTACTACGTAAAATCACTTTTAATAAAGGGTAGGCATGGGACGTGCAACATAGTCCAATGTGGTCTCCAGGTTTTTTTTCGAGGGGCACAAAGGATCGAATAAAAGTAAGAGAAAAGAAACAGCAAAGGGGCCGACAACATTTGAATCGAAACGAAATGACCGACCTCCATCCCAGTATGCCGCGTGCGGTTTTGTTTATCAAGGGACCCCACAACGCGGAAGGGCCTCCTGCAGGCGTTCCGAGGCTGGGTCATGACGCAGGGGCGGACCTTGAGTCCCTAGATCCAGTGTAGATACCGACAGTAATTTCTGTAGGGACTCCATTCAAATAATGCGACCACGTAGCTGCGCTGCACTTCGAGGACAACACACGCACAGAGCTGTGATGGAAGCGAGCAAACGGGCTGTCCAAGATCAGCTTTTCGCAACAGAAGGTTTCCTCAAATACAAGCATTTAGAACGCATAGGGGTTAACAAGCCAATTTTTAACAGGCCAGTTTTCAGAAATGTGCTGACATACCTCAACATTTAACTTCTGTTTCGTCCACGCACAAAACAACATGCAGCTTGTGAACATAGCCCGTAAATACCTAGTAACCGAACAACGGAGACAAACTTGACGGCAAAATCTCGAAGCACCCAGTCAATGCTTGTTCGCTAACGTGACAACGGCAAGAATTTTTGCAACCGGCTGGTAGAGAAACACAAACACACTCGAGCACTATCTGTCCGCGCTAATTGCCAAACGACCGGACAGACAAAACCACGAGGCAGTGCAAGTGCAGAGGGCAGGGAGCAGGACCTTGCAGGACGTGGAGGGGTGAGACTGGCCGGGGCGTGGCGGACGCCTCGGCGGACGCGGTGGGGCGCGATGGAGGGGCTGGCACGCGCACCGCACGGCCGGGGCACCGCACCAGCATCAGGGAGGTATATAACGCCACCCGCGGGAACAGGCGGCACAGTCAGCCACCAACAGCACCACCATGGCATTCAAGGTGGGTCCCCGTGGTTCCCGCCGTGGGCCTCGGCCACGTGGTGGGCGCAGCTCCCTGGATTAGTGCCCGCCACGTGGCCAAGTAGTGCGTGTTCTAGTGCGTCTGGTGAAAACCCCGCGAGTGGAAAGCTACAAAGTTCTTCGAGCAGTGCAAACGAGCTGGATACGACACACCACGGGAAGCTGACGGTAATGTACCAAGCGGTTGGTAACAAGTTCTTTGGTTATCTGTCTCCAGTTCGTCGCCTTCGCCGCCCTCCTGGCTGCCGCCAACGCCGGAGTGGTGCCCACCGGCCCCGTGGCCTACGCCGCCCCCGCGGCCTACGCTCACGCCGCCCCCGTGTCCTACGCACATGCCGCCCCTGTGTCCTACGCCGCCCCCGCTGCGTACGCTCACCATGCCCCCCTGGCCTACGCCGCCCCCGCCGTGGCTAAGGTTGCCGCCCCCGTCGCTTACGCCGCCGCCCCCGTCGTCGCCCACGCCAAGACCGTCGTCGACACCGACTTCGACCCCAACCCCAGCTACAACTACGCCTACGACATCCATGACTCACTGACCGGTGACAACAAGAACCAGCAGGAGTCCCGCCAGGGAGACGTTGTCCAGGGCTCCTACTCCCTGGTTGAGCCCGACGGCACCCGTCGTACCGTCGAGTACACCGCCGACCCCGTCAACGGATTCAACGCCGTCGTGCACAGAGAGCCCGCCCACGTCAAGGCCGTCGTCGCCAAGGTGGCTGCCCCTGTGGCCTACGCCGCCCCCGCTGCCTACGCTAAGGTGGCCGCCCCCGTCGCCTACGCCGCCCCTGCTGCCTACGCTAAGGTGGCCGCCCCCGTCGCCTACGCCGCCCCCGCGGCGTACGCCCACCCCGCCCCTGTGGCCTACTCCACCCCCATCGCCAAGGTCGCCGCCCCCGTCGCCTACGCCGCCCCCGCTGTGCACTCGTACGCCGCCCCCGCCGTGCACTCGTACGCCGCCCCCGCCGCCTACGCCAAGGTGGCTGCCCCCGTGGCCTACTCCGCCGCCCCCGCCGTCTACTCGGCTTCCTACTCCTCTCCCTACGCCACCTACCACCACTAGATGTACCTACCCTCATCCTCATCCCTTGTAAATATTGTGATAGTGTATGTTTTAGTACACGGTGCCAAATAAATTATAAACAAAGCGAACCTCTACGCCTGTGCAATTTCAAACCTTCACAAAAACCTCCACGAGTCCAAGCACAGAAGCAAGGGCAGCAAAAAACCCATCGTGAAAACATCTCTGCCCAGCAGAGCGATTGCACACAGCACCGTTGAGGGGCGCTCCATGAGTGCGAGAGAGACGGAGGCACGGCAGTGCACGGCAGCCCGCCCTCAGCGACGCGCTCTAATAAGACGGCTGGCCATCCGATTAGAGGTCGCGGGGCTGGCGCGGTGGCCGGGGCTGCCGGGGCGACTCGGCGCCGACCGGTCTCCTCGAATTATCCGCACGAAGGATAGTAGCGCTACTTGCTTGGGCATGCGGCCCGCGTAGCACAGCGCAGCGTAGCGCGCTGCGTGTTGCGGTGGGGTCACAATGCGACGCGGGAGGGCGCACAGAAGACTGACTCCGAGAGTCGTTTTCGTCGCTCTGTCTCTGTCGGACCTATAGGAGTGCTCCATGAGTGCGAGAGAGACGGGTCGACGAAAACGACTCTCAGTCTGCTGGGCACGGCGCGGCACGCTGCAGCCCGACGCACGCGCACTGCACTGCTTTGTTTGGTCTACACCTTGTGGCACCGCGGCCGCCGGGCCCGGGAGCGACGCGACCCCACGCTGGGGCTTGTTGTGGGGTCAAAAAGACGCCTAGAGAAACAAACAGTAAAAAGCGGTAAAAAGAAAAGGTCAAGATTACCGCGTCAAAATCGCAAACATAAAACTGACACGTTTCAGCAAAGTGTCACACGGCTGAACTAGTTCGCGTGTTATATTTCCTCCTCATTGACCTGTTCTTTCATCCCCACCTACACTCTAAATCATACACTACGCATGCAACGCGAGACAGCGCGCACACGACCTATTTACCGGTCACCAAAAACAACAAATAATTTACTGTCGCGCTAGGCCGGGCTGGCACAGGCCCGGCCACTGGTCGTGGGCGACCCTCCGACCCGCCCGTTCCCGACCCGCGGCGCACCGACACTGTCGTCAGGTGCACCGCCGGCACCGCCCCAGTACCCGAGACTCGCAAAAATAAACAACTTGCTTCAAAGCTTCCACGTTTCGGTCGCAACTTATCTGCACCAGTGGACAGCAATTAAAACGGTCGGCATCGAAACAAACAGACAGGTCAAAGTCACTGCGACATTCGCAGCTAGTCCCCGCCGCCGGGGACCGAAACCCAACTTCGCCGGTGGAAAAAGAATTTTAATTAACGCCACGGCATTTCCACCTTTTTCTTTTTTTTCCAGTGCAGTTCAGTGTCAAGCGGCGCGGCCTGAGAGTGAGTGACAGTCTAGTTAGGCAACACGTGCGGGGTAGCGCGGCGGATACGATGGTCTGGGCCATCCCACCAGCCGCACCAGCCGCGCTAGCTCATTCAATCGACCAGTCCAGCGGCCGGACTCCAGCCCGCCCCGCCCCCCCGCCCCGCCCCGCCCCGCCTCGGACGTCCATCGACTCAGAAGCGCGAGCACCGCGCGCAACAAACTTGCGGTTTAATTTAAGCGCGCTTTCAAATCGGCCACCGTGACACTTTTTATCCGCGCTCGCCAGTCGAAACACCCCCGGGCTGCATTAAACATTCCACGAGAAGGAGAGCAGGATCGCTACTGCCACGCGTGTCAACGAAAGGTCGCCTCGCTCCATTTTTCAGTTCCTTCGGAAAGCGCGAAGTCCTCACGGCTAACAAAGATCCGGGCCCTAGTGAGGCCGAGAGGCCCAAACCCACAGCAAGGGCGGGGCCAGGCAGGGCGGGGCGGGGTGGCAGTGACATTGACCGCTGCCATTTCTGCGTACGCCTTTCAAGTCGGTATTGTTTTCCGGCGCCCCCCCCCCCCCTCCACGTCGCGGTCACGACTCCCTCACACGGTTTCCGTTTCCCACAGTCACGCCTACGAAAACAGCGGGGCGACCGATGCTGTTCGCGGCTTGCAGAAGCCCGTCGGTTCGGAGCGCAAAAAGGCTGTGCAGGGAGTGACAGTGATCTGAGCACGCCTCTCTCTCTCTGCTTCGGGACTCGGAGCCGAATATACCGGCTGGCTGGCTGCGCGTGGCTCGCTCCGCGGCCCGGCCTGCCCCACAGTGTGCCCCACAGTAGGCGCCACCCGTCCTTGCCCGGTGCGCTATCATCAACCTGTCCACCGCCCTGATGAGGTCGCTGCGCTGGTCGCTGCGTTGGTCGCTGCGCGGGTCGCTGGCCGCCGGGCCAACAAATCATCGGCCCGGTCACAACGCGCCCGATTGGCACACACGCCGTGGAAGCAAACGAAAAGGCGCAGTCGCGTCCAAACAGAGAAAAACTTAAACAAAAAAAATTAAAATAAAAACTTATACTAACCTGACTTACCTACCAGAAATGGCGTTTCCTTTTAAAGAAAGCGTCCTGTGCACCCCAGCAAACGAGCTTCTTAAACGTATTTTTCCCTTTCCATTTTGAAAAAAATAATTCTTGAGACCAGCAGCTTTGAAATTTTCCTTGCCACAATCGCGCGCCGGTTGCCGGCGGCGAAATTATGCACACGTATTTGCACTGGACTAATCGGGCGCGGCGAGCCTCGCGCGGGGACCTTTACTCTTAAGGCTTTTCCAATTAAGTGCGATATTGTGCGTCGTCGCGATGTCGCATATAGGGCGGCCAAGGCTGCGGCCACTGCGGCGCACGCACCGAGTTGTGTGTGTGTGTGTGTGTGTGTGTTTGTTTTTAAGTGTGAGTGTGTGTGTGTGTTTAAGTGAGTGTTTGTGTGTGCAGGTCCCGACACAAGGTGTGGTCGATTAAAAAGGGCGGCGGAAGGTTGCACGTGGCGACATTTCATTTCCCGAAACCACTGCTCCGGCAAGGTTGGGCCGGCGCCATCAAAACGGGTGAGAGTCCAGGAGCTAATCAGAAAGATAATGATTCTTATTTTAATTATTATCATATCATGAAAATAATCATCGAGGTTCAAAATGAATAATGTGGTGAAAACAAGAGCAAGGAGAAAGCACGGTGTCTTTGGTACAAAAACTTTTGCGTCACTCGGAGATCAAGATGCACCGAGCGCGGCGACAGTGCGGCCGCGCGGACAATGCGACTTCCTCGCACTGCACTGTGAACTGCATGCACTTTGCACCGTCAGCCAGACGAGACATGAGTCACGCAGTCAGGCGGTATCGCACGGCCGCGTCTTTCTGCGGGGCCCTCCACCGCGAGGCGCGTGCCGGGAGACACACACACACACACACACACACACCACACACACACACACACACACACACACACACAGAGAGAGTCATTTAGCATGCGAAGCGCTATTCACGTGTTTCAGCAAACGGACAAATGGAGCTAAAGGCCTGGAAGGGCGGCGCGGCGGCTTGCCCTGCGGAGTGGGGACATGCCACGCCAAGCCATGCCAGGCCAGCGAGACCATTGTGGGCCCCATTTCATCGGCGTCACACTGACCAACATCATTCCTTGTCACTTGCCGGACTCGGCCGGACTGCAGTGACGGGTCCCAATTTGCGGCCGCAGCAGCGCCAAGGGGGGAGGGGGGATAACCTTTCCTGTCGCCCGGGATTTCTCATCGCTACCCAAGGTCATCGAAATTTTCAAAAGTTTCCCTCCCGAAAAGGGTTGGACATAATTTTAAGTCGGCTGGGAGACCGCCGACGCCGATGATGGTGCGAAAATGGGGATTGTGATTTCGAGTGCATTAACTATGATTCGAGGTTCGCGGGCCAGGGGCGGCCACCGGCAGGGCGCGCCAAGGGGTGGGGGGCACCGCGTCGATGGGGCCCGCTCGCCCCGCTGGGGGCCGCACTGGGGGCCGCATTGGGGGGTGGGGTGCAAGTGCAGTTACATCAGAGGTAGTGCCGGTATAAAGGTGAGCGTATATTCCCGAACTGACTCACTTCTCTCCGGGACGGTCGGGGCGCCGACAGCGACATGGATTTCCAGGTAGGCCCATCGGTGCGTGAAGTTTGGCGACACTCAGTGACAGCCCGCCTGGCCCAAGTTAGTGAATTCGTCTCCGAGTGGTGCGCCGGACAGGTGGTAACACGTCAGCCTAGTTTTGAGCATTTCGTGAACTAGTTATTCTGTGTGCAATTCCGCTAAAATCGGTTTTCTTTTTATCTTGGCCCGTTTCAAAATGTCGCACAAAAACTGCACCGCGACATGCAACTGTTAAATCATCCGCGAATTCCAAGTTGGCAGCACTGTGCAAATTTTTTTTCCAAGCTGCACAGCGCTTTAAAAAAAAGTGCTGCAGGTTCGAGCCACCTGGCCAGCACATTTTGTGCACCGATGCGTTGGCAACACTGTAAATATTGCCCCACCGCCTCTAAAAGTCACCTGGCAGGGAGATCTTCCATCCCGCGTGGCGCTGCTCGGCTCAAACCCTAAACATGTCCCAGGCCGAGCCCCGCGGTGCCCCCTCCCCGCAAGGGGCAGGTTCACAGCCTGATCTCTGATAGATCTGCAGAGCGGGTCGTATGCAAATGATGGTATTAGTCGACAAAAACAACAAATGTCGGTACCACATCACGCGCACGCACGCCTTCTCGGCTAAATGGTCCGAGCCGGAGGGCCCTTGGCTTCCACAAGCCTTTCGCAAGCCGGGGAAATTAATTTCAGAATCCATTTAGTGCGCGCAGCGGCCGACAATTATTTCATTCCGCGCAATGAGCTCCGCGAGAACTACTCACCAATGAGTGCACCATCATTTTTTTTTTTGCCCGTGACTCCTAACGGCCTTCCTGACCTATGGCGAGCTCACACAGAGCTGACGTTTATTTCGTTCTCGGGACCACCCCGTGGCGGGTGGCGGATCGCAGTGGGCCAGAAGAACGGTGAAGGCGGTCAAAACCCCGGACGCGTTCAAAGCCCCAGAGTCGCTAAGGAACTCGAACCGCACGTGTGACCCCACCGATGGATTGCTCTCCAAACGAGGAATCCATTGGAAGGGTCACAAGCCCGGTTCGAGTCCTGGTTAAAGCGACTCCGGAGCTCAAAAAGCGTCAAGAGTTTCAGCTGCAGCCACTGGTCTTCTGGCCCCCTGTGCGGATCCTGGATCCAGAGGTTCTTTTTCCTGGCGTGTGTCGGTCGAGGCGGCTGGCTTTAACAGTGCAGCGGACGGCCGCTCGGCATCACACGTGGCACGCGTGGCGCCACCGCAGAGCACTGCAGGAACCGGCAACAAAGGCCCGACAAAGGACTAACGGCCTAACGAAGCGGACGCCAAATCAAAGGTCAGACGCTTCGCTCTCATTAGTCGACACAAGCGGCGTTTTTTCAACGGCCGCCGCCGCGCTACCGCCGCGCTACCGCCGGGGCCCGGGTTCGAGTCCCGCCCCCGCGCTCCGCCGTTTCGCAACGCCAGACGCACGCAAAGGTCGGTTCGACGCAGCGTCCGCTCGCCGCCAAGGAGGCGGCATGGCAGGACCGGGCTGGGCCCCGCCCTGCGACAAGCGCGACAAGTGGACGCCGACCCCGCGACCCCGGGGGCGGCGCGCCGGAGCTGCCCTGCCGTCGCGCTGTCTCTCTCGCACGCCTGCGGCGTTCCGCGGTTCCGCGTGGGTGCGAGAGAGACAGCGCGACGGCGGGGCGGGCGCAGTGTCCGCGCCGCTAATCAGGCTAATCCACTAATCACGCACGTCGAGCCGGCAGCGGGCCGAGTCCGAACGGTGCTTCCGTCTCTCTCGCACTCACGCAGCCTCCCGTGAGGGTGCGAGAGAGACAGAGCGCGCGGCGCGGAAACACCAGGCGGTGATTAACGACTCGCCCCGCATCTCCGTCGCACTTGTCGTGAACACGGACAGGCTGGCGGCAGGCTCGCCCGGCGTCGCCCGGCCTGGCAGTGCGCCAAGGGGTGCCTCGGTTATTAGCGAACACTGAATCCTATTTATTGGACTCGGCTTGCCTCCGCCGTGACGTTCGCAGTGTGCCTTCGCTTACTTTTACTTCCAGCTTTTCTCCACGCTTCGTCCGCTAACGCGCTGTTGTACGTGCCTCTGCCTGCAGGTGCTCATCCTCGCGACGCTCGTCAGTGCCTGCACTGGCGTGGCGGTGGTGTCGGACGGCCCGGTGGCGTACGCCCCCCCCGGAGCGCACGCCGCCTACGCGGCCCCCGCCGTCCAGTACGCCGCGGCGCCAGCGCGGCCGCCGGGCATCACCTACACCACCACACACGCCGCCCCCGGCCACTACGCCGCCCCCAGCCACTACGCCGCCCCCGCCTACCCAGTGGCGAAGGCCGTGGCCTACCCAGTGGCAAAGGCAGAGGCCAGTCCGTACAACGCCGTGGCCTACCCAGCGGCCCCCGTGCAGTACGCACCGCCCCAGGTCCACGCCGTCGCCGCGCAGCCCCACTACGCAGCCCCGCCAGTCCACGCCGTGCAGCCCGCCCAGGCCGTCTACCCCGCCCCGCAGTACGTCGCCAAGGTGGCCGCGCCGCACGCCGTCAAGGCCCCCGTCGTGGACTACCCCTCGACGCCCGCCAAGTACACGTACGCCTACGACGTCCACGACGAGCTGACGGGCGACGTCAAGAGCCAGCACGAGAGCCGCGACGGCGACGTGGTCCACGGCAGCTACTCGCTGCTCGACCCGGACGGCACCCGCCGCACCGTGGAGTACACTGCCGACCCGGAGCACGGCTTCAACGCCGTGGTGCACAGGGAGGCCGCGTCCGTGCACAAGCAGCACGCCGCCGTGGCGCACGCCCCCGCCAAGGTGGCCTACGCCGTCCCCAAGGCCGGCCACGTCGTCGCGGCGCCCGTGGCGTACGCCCCCGCCAAAGCGGCGTACGTCGCGCCCCCGACACCCGTCGCCTACGCCGTGCCCGCCCAGCGCAAGGTCGCCTACGCCGCGCCCGCCCCAGCACACTACCCAGTGCAGGCCCACCCCGTCGCAGCGTACCCCGCGCAGCACGCTCACTCCGTGCAGCAGGCTCACCCTGTGCAGCAGGCCTACCCCGTGCAGCAGGCTCACCCTGTTCAGCCGGCTTACCCAGTTCAGCAGGCCTACCCCGTGCAGCAGGCTCACCCTGTTCAGCCGGCTTACCCTGTTCAGCAGGCCTACCCCGTGCCGCAGGCCCACCCGGTGCAGCTCTTCCCCGGCCAGCACCCCCAGGCGCCCCACAGGTCGTCCTACAGCACGTCGTACATCTCCTCGCCGGCGGGGTACCAGCAGTACCAGCACTAGAGACTGCGAGCCAACGCGCGTCTCGGTACGCCGCCCGCCCTGCGTCGGGGAAGGGCAGCGCTCGGACACTCCAGGCGGACCCAGCCGCCGAGGGGCCCTCCAGGGGACCCCGAGGGACCCTCCAGGGGACCCCGAGGGACCCTCCAGGGGACCCACCGCCCGATCTCAAGCATCACCCACTCATCGCAGCCCGTTCGCCAGCCACGTAATTCGCATCATGTTTAATTTATTGTATGCATAGTGGAAACAATAAAACTCCGCAAAACGTGTCGCTGCGTCCGTCGATCCGTCACAAAACGTCCTACGCCGCGACTCGCCAGTGTGGCGGTCAGTGCACCGCGAGTGGGGCGCGGAGGTGGGGGCGTCGGAGTGGGGGCGGGGCGGGGCCGTCCGCACTTGACGCACTCCTGCCGAAACCGCAGTTTGCCTCGCTCCGAGGCAGCGGCCCGAGCGACGGGGGGCGTCTGGAGAACAGAAATGCACATGGCAACAAGTGGGGAGGGAAAAATACGAATGGGTTCGGGGGCGCGGCCCCCCGTGGGGTCGGGCGCGGCAGCTCCTTGCTCTAGTTTTGAGGCGCACCGCGCGCACCGCTCGTGTGGGCCCCATTGAATGCAGGCCAGGTCAGGACGATTGCCCGGAGATCCCAACCATTGTCCTGTCAGAGTGCAGTCATGACAAGTTGCAAGTGCAGGACAAAAAATTACCATTCCAGACGAAAAATTGCGAGCGAACTAAATGTTTCCGCGAAGTCATTTTAGTCTCCGTCGACGCAAAGTGGATTCTGGACCTGGGCTCACAAACACACTCACACGGGTCACACACACACGCAGCGCGCCGTCGCGGGCCTACGTGCATTTGCGCCGTGGCCTAAATACGGCGACCGCGACAGGCCCTGGGCCCGTGGCTGGCCCCTGGCTGGTCCGCGCGGCGGGTCGGGTCGGGCCCTAAATCCACGCCAAGCTGCACCCACGTCCCCCACCCTACTCAGCCCGCTCGCCGAACACAGCTCATTCATTCCGCGGTTGCTAAGCCGAACAAATCTGGTTTTTCGTCCACGAAACCCACGAAACAGAACGCAAGGCGTCCGTCTGCTTTTTCTTTCGGTCTTTGCAGTGGGCACGTCACTGGCGTGGCGGGCCGTCCCGGCCGACGGGCAGACGGACGGACCGCCGCGTCGACCGAAAGGCGCCGAACTAGACCGACTAGCCCGTGATTCGCCGCCGAGACTGTGCGTGCTGCGACTCCAGGGACTCCAGGGACTCCAGGGACTCCAGCTAGGAGCATCCGGTGCCCTCCAGTCTGTACTCTGGAGTCTGGAGTCCAGACGCTCTGGAGCGGAGTCTGGAGGCTCGGGCCACGCTGCGTCGCCGCGTGAATGGCAAGGACGCCGTCGTGGCCCCGCCCCGCCGCGACCCGCCAGATCCAGTTGCTAATGACGGCGCGTTGCAGCGGCCCGATTCCGAACAATGTCTCGTCTCTCTCGCACTCGCGGGGCGTCCCTTGTGGCTGCGAGAGAGACAGGCGCTGACACGGTCCGGCCGGCAGCGCGGCGGGTGTGGCCGACGTGGCCGCCCGCGATATGTATCGTGACATTATTATTGTTTACCAAACATCTTTAAGTAGTGCACGCGCTCGCACACAAAAAATACATTCCACGCCGGCGACTTTTGAAACGGTTCGGGTATTTTCCATGCCGCCCGCATTCTCCCCGATCCGGCATGCACGTCCTGCCTGTGGCTGCCGACACGCCGCCACTGCACTGTGTTGCCAGACCCGTCCAGGAATGCCTCTGTGCAGACCACCGGCAGCGCGAACGCGCGGGCGCCGTCCGTTCGGTGGAACTTTGTCACGAGTAGCTTTCCGAGATTCCCTTCCCTGACCCTCGAAGGCACGGCATGGGCCAGTCCGCCTATTTGAACCAGTTCGATCAAAGGCCATGACGCGATACGAACGATCCAGGCAGCCGGTTCTCTCTCTCTCTCTCAGTGGCCCGCGGCGTGCCCTATGGCTGCCGCACTGGCCTTAAGGACAAAGGGCAGTGTAATGCCTGCCAAGGACGAAGGACGAAGGACTCCGTGACGCTGCAGCACGGCCGGTCCGCGCGCCGGAAATGCCCATTGCGTGCGGCACTGCTGCCACTGCCCGACGAGCGCAGGGTAGGCAACACTGCAGCACACCAGAGCGCCCGACCAACGCAGGGTAGGCAACACTGCAGCACACCAGAGCGCTGCAACAGCAGCCACTCCGTAGAATTCAAATGCAGCGTGACGCTGCCCATTGCCTAAGTAAACCTATCAGTTTAGGAGTCCACCCGTTCTGATGACTCATGCCCCCCATGTGCGAGTGTGTGCGTGTGTGTGTGGGCAAGGACTTCTCGGCCCCAGGGCGGCAATACGGCCGAGGCGTTGCCGGGCGTGGCGGGGAGCGTGGGGAGGGGGGCGAACTCACACACACACACACACCTATGACCCGAACGGGAATGCGATCCAAAATGCCACGCCACTATCATACAGCCGCGGTTTGAAATAAGTGACCGCACACATCCACGCCACTCGCTGTGTAAGTGTGGTGTGTGTGTGTGTGTGTGTGTGTGTGTGTGTGTGTGTGTGTGTGTGAACGAGAGGCAGCTAGCCTTGCACGAATTCAGTGTCATTGAGCAAAGTGCAGAGCGTTAGGCCGTTCTGTATTCAACTAACGTCCTGTATGCAACTAACTTAGGGTTCCTAGGACGAACCTGTACTTAGAATCAGCTCAGTGCTCGTATTTAAAAAAACTAGATAAACCTTACCGTGCATTGCCTTGATTGATTGATTGTACTAATTTCGGCATTTGCCCAACACCACTGTAATAATGCATAATAAAATACCTGTACAGCGCAGCAACACTCACTACGGCAGCGAAACTCACCTGCAACAGAGAAAAAGAGAGTCGGTGATGATTCGTGCAAAACGAAAACCGAATAAAAACCACAAACGTACGCAGGGGCAGACACAGGCAGACAAACACAACCGGGCGTAAGAGAGGAGAGAATCGGTTAAATCTGCATGAATTGAATTCCCTCAAAGCACACAATGGACCCTTGGCCTGCAGAATTCCCATTTGCCCTCATTAACCTGTTGGCTGCACCAACGCGCGTACAATCGCGCACACACACAAAGACACACAGGGTTCAGCCAGTGCTGCGCAGAGCACACCGCAACGTTTGAATTCAGTCGCTCGTCGACTAACCGGTAAGGTCATTACAATCCGACCACCCCAGGACCACACACACAAATGCGATCCAGCCTCCCCAAGTTATCGACTCACAAATGCACGCAATTTTTAATTAAAAATGATAAAAATTGCTTGGAATTCATTTTCATTCAAAATTGAAGCGCCTGGTATTCTTCGGTCCACCCTGTTCGCCACGAGCTTCAAGCCTGGCGCACGGACCGGTGTGCTCAAATGCGGCTAAATCGAGCAGGAATGCCTCAAGCCGGGCAGCCAAGCACCACGACCGCCAGGACGGCGAGGCGGGTGAGCTGCGCCCTGCGCGTAGGCAGCCCAACGTGCACCGGGACTGCCCGTCTATCCGTCAGCCCGTCCTGCCGCAGCCCGCGAGGCGGGAGACTTGCACGCCCGAGGGGCAGGAGAGCACTGACGCCACCGCCTCTCTTTCTGCGTTTCTTGCTCCTCCATCGGTCACACGTTTGGTCCGAGTCCCATTTAGCGGCTCTGGAGTTCAAAACGCGTGTAGAGTTTCGGCCGCCTCCCCCGGTCCTTTGGGCCACTGAGTCGACGGCAGCGTGGCCGCGGTGGCGACGGGGCAGCCCAGAACGCCGCGTCACTTCCTCGACGCTAGGGCGCGGCACCCAGGGCGTCGGGCCACGGCGGTGCGGCGGCGTGGTCCCAGGCTGACCAGGGTCAATCGTCCAGGGTCGGTCGGTCACGGCCCCGCGGCCCGCGAGGCGATAATGACACGAGCACGATACCGAATGGCAACCGGGGCGCGGGAAAGGCGCCAGCCGTGGCCCCGGAAATGCACTCCAGGAAGGCAAACTTCCACCAAAAAAAGTTACAATTTTTAAAAAAAAAACAATATAATTTAAGATTTTTTTTAAATATACAATGAAAAAGCTTGATAAAATTTAGAATTTAAAAATTTGTCGAAGTAAGAAAATTGTGCAGACTCTGAGTCCGGAAAGGATGTTCTGGGCTGGACAAACTAATTCGCGCTGTCTCATCCCCCAGGCTGTGCCAAAGCCAGGCCTCGCCCCAGGTCAGGGCCGCGAGCCACACCTAGCAACGGTCATTTCACGGGTCGCTATCTGATAAAGCGCGTAAGCCCGGGTGGAGCCCCGGGTGGAGCCCCGCGAGTGTGGCACCACTGGAGTCCAAGGCCTTGGAGGGTGATACAGCGCCTTCGGGCCGTCGTCCCGTCACCACGGCCCTTGGTGCCTTGCCGCCGTGCCGCCGTGCCGCGTCGTTACGGCCGGAACTCGGACGCGGTAATTCGAGGCTGCCCGCCACATGACAGCGGCGAATGGCATTCGGAAGTCGGGCAATGCGGTGCAACGCAGCAGCGCCACCAGGGACGCCACTGTCACCAACGTCAAAAAGCGCAGTGCTTGAGTCTGTTCGCAACTTTCATAGAAATATTTTTCCTGTAAACAACCGCCTTATTTCTGTAAAAAAAAAATCAGCTCTACGCCGGGAAAAAAATTCTCTCACGACCATATCCATGCAGAAACGCCGCAATATGTCGTGGAACAGCCGCGGAACCAATCCCGGTGGTGACTCGCTGAAATTCAGCGTCCCGGTTACACACACACACACACACACACAACACACACACACACACACACACACGTGTGGTCGCGTGGCTCGCGTTGCGTGCGCGGGCGTGACTGCAGTGCCGCAACGGCGGGCTTTATGCTTAAACGGGAATCACACGCAGGCTTTGTAATCGAGACACTTTCGGATCTAGAGCTCGCTCGCGCCATCACGGTCGCTCCAGGCTGTGTAGGACCCACCAACATTTACAAATACATCATATTTTCAATTTTTTTTTCCCTCGAAATGCAGTATTGTTACGTGGGCCACCAGAAGAGAGTAGAAATCCCTAGCTCACATGGGTTCGGGGCAGGGAGAGCCGGGCAGAGCCCTACAGCGAGCGAATCGTTTCAATAAAATTATTCCGACCAAAGTTTCGGCCAAATTTTAACAGTCTCCCATTGGAGCCTAAATGCCCGGGCCATTGCGACGCATGTTGACACCATGGCCCCAAAATTAAGACGCCGAGCCCTGTGCCTCGAGCCAATGGCGGGGCGTGGCGGGGCGTGGGCGGGGCGGTGGGGCGGGGCGGGGCGGGGCGGGGGCGGGCGCGGCTTTCGGGTGGGGTCGCACACAGTGTGGCACCCAGGGCGGCGCGGCGCGGGGGAGGGGGGCACTTTTGTTAGCCGCAACCCTCCCCACTTGTCAAGGCGCCAGTCCGACTATAAGAACCAGGGCGGCGGCGGACAGGGCATCAATCCACCGCCACCCAAACAACGGCCAACATGTTCAGCAAGGTGAGCGACCCCGGCGTGCCCAAGGCGTGCCGCCGCGAGCAAGACAGTGCCCCGCCAGTGCAGTGCAACAGTGAAGCAGTGCTACAGTGCCTTGCAGTGCCCCCCAACTTGGCAGTGGACTTACAAGCCGCCAAGCCGCCGCCTCATCGCACGCGGTTCACGTCCCCAGTATCGCAGTGCAGTGTTCGTCGCACGCGCCCCGAGCGTTCAGCCGCGGCACTGGATAGGCTCATCCTAGTCCAAGTCCGCTCTCGCTAGACCAGGGCACGGCTTCGAGTCCCGGCGGTGGCAAAAAACAAATGGTGGTGACGTGCCCTGCATGCCGACACACCACGTCGTTTATCACTGCACCGGCGTCCGTGACCGCTGCCCGGCACTGCGGTGGCCCGCTCCCCTCCCGGCGCAAGGCCAGGGCCTGGAGCGGCATGGCGCTGGAGCGGCTGGAGCGGCCCGGCGGCCCCTGGACTCTCTAGGACGCGGCGACGCGGCGACGCAGCCCCCGGCACTCGGCGGGCCACGCCGCGCCACGCCGCGCCATGCCGCGCCACAAAGGAGGCCCCTGGCCCCACGGCCCCGCGGGGCACGGCGATCGCAACGCGGCATTGGACGCGTGCGGCGCACGGAGCTCGCAAAAATCCATGCTAATAAACCTGCTCTGTTTCAGCTCATCGCCCTCGCCACCCTGGCGGCAGTCGCCCGCGCAGGCGTCGTGCCCACCGGCCCCGTGGCCTACGCCAGCCCGGCCGCCTACACCCACGCCGCCCCGGTGGCGTACGCCGCCCCCGCCGTGGCCAAGGTCGCCGCCCCCGTCGCCTACGCTTCCCCCGCCTACACCCACGCCACCTACGCCCACCCCGCCCCCGTTGGTTACGCCGCCCCTGCCGTGGCTAAGGTGGCCGCCCCCGTGGCGTACTCCGCTGCCCCCGCCTACACTCACGCCGCCTACGCCGCCCCCGCTGCGTACGCCCACGCCGCCCCTGTGGCCTACGCCACCCCCGCCGTGGCTAAGGTGGCCGCCCCCGTCGCCTACGCAGCCCCTGCTGCCTACGCTCACGGCCCCGTCGTCGCTAAGGCCGTCGCCGGCCCCGTCCTCGCCAAGACCGTCGTCGACACCGACTTCGACCCCAACCCCAGCTACAACTACGCCTACGACATCCACGACGCCCTGACCGGCGACGCCAAGAGCCAGCAGGAGTCTCGCGAAGGCGACGTCGTCCACGGCTCCTACTCCCTGGTTGAGCCCGACGGCACCCGTCGCATTGTCGAGTACACCGCCGACCCCGTCAACGGCTTCAACGCCGTCGTGCACAAGGAGCCCGCCCAGGTCGCCGTCAAGGCCGTCGCCGCCCCCGCGGCCTACGCCGCCCCCATCGCCAAGGTGGCCGCCCCCGTCGCCTACGCCGCCCCTGCGGCCTACGCTCACCCCGGAGCGTACGCCCCCGCCGTCGCCAAGGTGGCCGCCCCCGTCGCCTACGCCGCATCCCCCTACGGCTACCACCACTAAGTCCGACACCCTGAGTGCTGTCCCACCGCCTCCGACTATTTATTGACCTGACTGTATAGAAAAATAAATGTGATATATTTTCTAGTACCCGATGTGTCTGATTCAAACATTGGCAAACAAAAACATTCCCGCGGCAAGCAACAACAGTGCACCGCACTGGGTCACCGAGACAACGCGGCGGGAGGCTCGCCCGGAGCAGCAAGGAGCTCCACGCGTGTAAGGTCAACGATCACTGTTTCTGCGAACCGCCGCTCGGGTCAGAGGGCGCTGCCTTCGCTGCTGCCGATCGGTCGCGCCACTCGCCCGATCGCTTAGTTGGCGGCTCCGCCGGCAGAGGGCGCCACTCGCTTCGTTGCCGATACCCCGCGCTGGAGCGACTTTACGGCGGGTGGCGGTCGCGACGCCGCACAGTGGGCCAGAAGACCGGTGGAGCGGCCAAAATTCTAGACGCGTTTTGAGCTCCAGAGTCGCTAAATGGGACCCGAACCGAACGTGTGACCCCACCAATGGATTCCTCGTTCGGAGAGCTATCCATTGGTGGGGTCACACGTTCGGTTCGAGTCCCATTTAGCGACTCTGGAGAGTGACACGCGAAATAAATAGCCGTCAACTGCCAAAACCTGAGAAAAAGTGGCCCTCACTCACAGACGCGCAACCATTTTGAATCAACTCACTCAGACCATTTCTTTTTTTTTTTAAGGAAAGGCATTTGTACATCGGCCGAAACGACGGACACAGTTTCTGACAGAAAATAAACACGAAAAATGGAGACGGCAGAGTGGGGGATCGCGGTGACGTAAGGCCATTGTCTGACAGGGCGACACGTTTCCGTCGAGACAAAAGAGGCCGATCAGGTTGCTTCTCATTAGCCGGCGCCCAGTGGGCCAGAGGACCGGTGGAGGCGGCCAAAACTCTACATGCGTTTTGAGCTCCAGAGTCGCGAAACAGGACTCGAGCAGAGCGTGTGACAACGGATTGGTCTCGGAACGAGACCCATTGGTGGGGTCACACGTTCGGTTCGAGTCCCATTTAGCGACTCTTAGAGCTCAAAACGCGTCCGGGATTTTGACCACCTCCACAGATCCTCTAGCTCACAGTGAAGCGGGCCTGACACCGGGAGGGACACAGTGACCCAGAGAAGGCTTTCGACTCGAAGAAGTGGAAGTCACGCTAAACCCAAACACGGAAGCCAAAACTTGACAGTCGACCGTGAAAAGGCCAGCCGGCGGCGGCGAGCGCCTGTCAACGGCAGCATAGGCAACCACGCAGCGCGGCCGTGCCTCGCGCCACGGAGACGCGGCCTACCTGCCAGGGGCCCTGCTGCCAGTGGCCCTGCCGCCGACACGCCGAGCAACGCGGAGCGGCCAGACGGCGAAGACGCTCTCAAGGACAAGGTCGGCGTGTTCGAGCGCGTAAAATCGGCCGGCCCTTCGGCGAGCCCTCCCAGCCTGCGCTTGTTGTTGTTGTTGGCGATGCGGCCGTCGATAGAAGCAACAACAACAAAGGTGCATCGCCGGCCTTGGGCGGAGCATAAAAGGCTTAATTGTGCCGCCACCCTCGCGGTTTTCTGCAAAGAGACGACACCAGTCTGGGACGGTCCGCCCTTGGGCCTTGACTGGCCGCCACGCCGCCCCCCCCCCTCCCCGCCGGCCGGGGTGCCGTCTGCCAGGCTGCACTGGTCGTCTGCCACGCCCAATATACATCCCACCCATAGGGCCAGTCGGGCCGCCAGCCGGCAGCCAGCCAGCCAGGCAGCCAGTCAGGCAGCCAGCGGGCAGACAGTCAAGGGCAGGGGAGTCTCGATTCCAGTGCAGTCTTCCTTTTCGTTCGCCTCTTTCTTTTCGGATCCCCTTCCTCAAATATTCGCGCACTACACCTGACGCGGCCGCTCCCCTTCTGGGCCAACAGAGGCCCGAGGCAGCACCGCGCCGCACCTGTGCGCTGCGGGCACCTGGCGGCGGCCCGATGTTTCTCCGCAGGTGCTTCTGGGCCTCGCATCGAATTTCGGCGCCGCCGATGAGCGCAGAGGGCGACATTTGCATACGGCCTTGAACTAGTTGCGCCGCCTGCGCCGCCTCCCTCGATGACGGCCGGGTTGGCCATCGGTGCCGGCCGATGCAGACAAATTGGGAGGCGGCCGATCGGAACACGGCCACGGTCCTAACCCCTCAAAAATGGTCTATGACGGCGATTTCATGATGTGCTCCCAAAGTTCCGTCTCATTATCGAACAGTGCACTCACGAACTGGCTCGACCGGCGTTTGGGGGCGAGTGCGTTAATGGTCTCAGGCGTTCGGAGGGGCAAGGGGGGGCGGGGGAGAGGGGCACAGAGCGCGGGACATCGCGGGGGTGCAGGGGTGCAGGGGCCCGGTTCCTGCCGCGGTGCAGAGTTGCATCAGATTCGCGACGTCGGTATAAAAGCGCGAGCCCCAAGCCGGACAGACACTCTTCGTCCAGAGGCAACAAGCAACCCGTCGCCATGGCATTCAAGGTACCAGGATTACAGTGCAGTGCCGTGTGCAGTGTAGTGGCCCGGAAGTCAACAGTGATAAAAGTGAACTAATTCAGAATGTTGTGCTCTAGCCCAACGTGAGGTTTAGGCAGTCAGCATGCCTTACTGACTGGAAAGACATCAAAGTGTTCAGCTTGGATCTCCGTAAAAGTACCAGAATCTACAGTATCTAACACACACGTTCTGTGTCCACAGTTCGTCGCTTTCGCCGCCCTCGTGGCCGTGGCCCGTGCTGGAGTGATCGCCCCCGCCGCCCCCCTGGGCTACGCCGCCCCCGCCCCCCTGGCCTACGCCGCCGCCCCCGCCGCCCCCGTCCTCGCCAAGGCGGCCGTCGCCGTCGACACCGACTACGACCCCAACCCCAGCTACAACTACGCCTACGACATCCAGGACTCCCTGACCGGCGACGCCAAGAGCCAGCAGGAGTCCCGCCAGGGAGACGTCGTCCAGGGCTCCTACTCCCTGGTTGAGCCCGACGGCAGCCGTCGTACCGTCGAGTACACCGCCGACCCCGTCAACGGCTTCAACGCCGTCGTGCACAAGGACGCCCCCGCCGTCGCCGTCAAGGCCGTCGCCGCCCCCGTCGTCGCCAAGGTCGCCGCCCCCCTGGCCTACGCCGCCCCCGCTCCCCTCGCCTACTCCGCCCCCACCCTCATCCACTAAGATCCCTTGATGTTCCTATTTATTTCGGCACTGTTCAAAAATAAATTATTTTAAAAACAAAATTATGTTTTTGAATGGTGTTTTGAGATTCACAGAGCATGCGCACAATTTTTGAGAGCACAAACTATACAACACATGGGTACACCAAATGAACCATCCAGCCTACATCCTTTAAAAAACTAACTATCAACAATATACCACATTCGTCTGCTACTGTCACACAACTTTTAACAAAGATTCTCTTCAAAAAATGTTACTAGTCACACACGCTAAAAACATTACACGCATAAAAGTTAAAATTTCGTGGAGTTTCAGTGCATTGCTGAGACTGTTCGCGGCGAGAGAGGAGAGCCTCGGAGCTCGCTGCATGACGGCAACCACGAGGTCCACGGGGTCCACGGGGTCCACGGTGGTCAACGCGACCGGTTCCGCGAAGGCTCTTCAAACTCAAGCGGGGCCGATGGGGCACACTGGAAGTACGGCTTTTCGAAGGAAGAAAGGCGGAAACCGCAGAATTCAAATCGGAAAAAGGGGGCGGGGCCACCAGTCAACCATAGCAGGTAAACTGCATCAACGAAACGAAAAACACAAACTGCCACTCAATCATATTTCGCCAATTGGCCAATTTGACTCGCACCGTTGCACACAATTCCAGTCGGCAAGCAAAGCGAATAAAAAATCCCACCGCGACATGCTCCTCGGAGGCATCACGCTTCGATACATCGATACAACGATAAATCTCGAGATGCTTGCGAGGCGGTGCCGCGGTGCGGCGGTGCCGGGCGGAGCCCACGTAGCGCCCGACCCGGCCACGCCAGGCCAGTGTAGTCTGCCTTGTCTGGGTCACGGTCGAGCCGCAAGGAACCAAAGGAACCCAAGCGGCCAAGCGGCCAATCCAGGGACAGAGTAGTTGGAACGAGATCGAATCTGTCTTCCTCCCGGGTCTTCACTCACGCTGCTGGCTGTCTGCACGCGCAGAAAAAAAAACTACGTCACGTCCCGCCCAAAAAGAAACAGTTTTAATTACAAGCCGTTTGCAGAAAAAAGGTTAAGAGATTTGGAGACCGATTTTATTCACGCAAAGACAAAATTAAAAAATTAATTTAAAATTATTTTTTTTAGCATGAATAGGATTTGTAGTTTCCATTGATAAATGTGTTATGTTCAGATCAAAGACCTGAAGTTTCTAGTTTCTAGTCATTTACCCAAGTCAGTCACGAAAGTCAGTAACTTAGGTCAGTCCCTAAGGTCAGTCAATTAAGGACCAGGAAAAGTCTGAGACCCTGCCCGACCTGGCCCCAGCAGCCTACCGCCGCCCGGTCATCATTTCAGACACCAAATTTCTGCTCCACTGCATCGCCTTGCCAGCCAATCAACTACGTCAGCGCACTAACCACCACCTCGCGATCAGGGAGATGGGCGGGCCGAGGCGGGGCGGGGGGGGCGGGGCGGGGCGGGGCGGGGCGGGGCGGGGCGGGGCGGGGCGGGGCGGGCGCGACGCGGCAGGACGAGGGGAGAGGCGCTGCAGCGGGAGGACGCGGCCAGGACGCGGCCCGCCGAAAACCAGCGATAGTGGTTAAGGTATAAATGTTCCTCGCAGCGAGCGGAGCGTCACATTCGGCGAGCCGCAGTCAGCAAAGCCATGGCATTCAAGGTACGACGCAGCCCGGTCCGGCGACACTGCTTCGGACTCCGCTTCGAGTGAAAGCTAACCAATCGCTCTCTTTGTCATTCAGCTCGTTATCTTCGTCGCGTGCGTGGCTGCGGCCAGCGCTGGAGTCATCCCCGCCGCCCCGGTGGCGTACTCCGCCTACGCCCCCGCGGCCTACGCCGCCGCCCCCGTGGCCCACGCCTACGCCGCCCCCGCTGCGTACGCCGCCCCCGTCGCCTACGCCCACGGCCCCGTTGTCGCTAAGGCCGTCGCCGCCCCCGTCCTGGCCAAGACCGTCGTCGACACCGACTTCGACCCCAACCCCAGCTACAGCTACGCCTACGACATCCAGGACGCCCTGACCGGCGACTCCAAGGGCCAGCAGGAGACCCGCCAGGGTGACGTCGTCCAGGGCTCCTACTCCGTCGTCGACCCCGACGGCACCCGTCGTACCGTCGAGTACACCGCCGACCCCGTCAACGGATTCAACGCCGTCGTGCACAAGGAGCCCGCCCACGCCGTCGTCAAGGCCGTTGCCGCCCCCGTCGTCGCCAAGGTCGCCGCCCCCGTCGCCTACGCCGCCCCCGCCGTGCACGCCGCCCCCGTGGCCTACGCCGCCCCCATCGCCAAGGTGGCCGCCCCCGTCGCCTACGCCCACCCCGCCCCTCTGGGCTACCAGGCCGCCGCTGCCTACTACCACTAAGTCAATGCACCCCCACCATTATAAATAGTCCATCGCCATGAAATAAATAGACGTCCCACCCTCCGACAAGTGTCTATAATTTCCAAACCCGGCAGGAAGCTTCATTAGCAAAGCACCACCTGTCCACAGAGCCGCCGGCCGCGCCATAAGCCTGAGTGACGCACTGGACCAACGCCAGGGCACCCAGTAAGGCTTGACGCTGCAGCACTAGGCACCAGCCCCGACAACGCCCGACAAATAGAGCTGCTAATCACACAAACCAATCAGCATTTCTTTGATGAAGGGGAACAAAGGTCGCGTTTGCAAACAGAAATCGAAACGACCACACGTCCGTTTCTGTTCGGAAGCGCTGCAGCAGCGACACCACCCTTCCGAAACTTCAGCACGCTTCCGAGTGTGGTGGCTCACCACGGCCAACCTGGCTAGCAGAAGCTCGTTGAACAACCTCGGCGACTCAGCTCAACAATAACAACGCATGTTCTTTTCAGACACCGTCAATAAAGACACAGAACATTCACTGAATGAACCGGAAAGAAATTGATGTAGGACCCCCGGTTGCAACGACCGCCGTTCCGTCCGCGGGTCCCAGTCGACGGCGTCGTTCGCGTCGCGTCGAGCTCCTCCGAGAGAGGCATCTTGAAGACGGCCGGGCGGCGCGACCTTGCAAGGCCTTGTGGACCAGGTCAGGGTCCCACACTGGGCGGAGCCTCTTTGGGTGGAGCCAAGGCGGAGCCCAGGCGGAGCCTCGAAGCAAACCAGTCGGTCATACCGCTACCGATCAACTTCCCTCCCCAGTCAATCAACGGCCACACCAGCCTCGTCGTATTAGCGACGCGCCGTTCACGCGGCCGAAAAAACATGGATAAACTGCAGATTCCATCAAATTTTGAGAAAACGACAGAAAAAACGCGAAATATCTATCACCACCAGTCAAAGCCTGACGACCAGTACTTTCCTTCAACTTGCAAGAATTATTTTCGGTGGAAAAATTCTACCGATTGCAAACGACTTCATCATATGACGATGAACACTTAATTAAAGAAAACACTTCCGGTGTGCGGCAGAATTTTTCTAAAATTTTATGTTGGAAACAATATTGTTCGTCATTTAGTTTGTAAATAGATTTCTGATTTCTGTTGACGCAGAAAGTTTAATAAACGTGGATTTAAGAGTGCAGCAAAGACCGCTTGCTTGGCTCCACAGGACACCGGAACACATCTCCGCCGGCACATGGGACTCCAGGTGGTCGGGGTCATGAGCCATGAACACGTACGCACAAATGTGCGTGTGGAGGGGCAACGCCATGCCAGGGCAATGCCATTGCCATCGACGTGAGCTCACCGTCTGACTGAGCCGGTCGTCTAGACGCTGCAAACCTACTCTGTTAAATTTGGTGGACGGCATCGTGCCGGCCGGTGCGGTGCACTGCGGGCTCACTCACTTCGCACGGCGTTTCGTCGCTCTGCCTCTCTCGCACATCAACGGCACGTCCCACAGGTGCGAGAGAGGCGGCTGCTGCGGGGCTGGGGTGGCGATAAGGGTAGGGGAAGAAGCCGGCGGACGAGGCGACCGGGCGGTGGGGGCAGGGCCCCTGCAGGGGCTGCCGGGCCGGGCCGGGCGGTATAAAAGCCGGGCCGACGGCCAGAACGTCACTACTGTCGGCAAGCAGTTTTCAAACAACACTCCTCCAGCCATGGCATTCAAGGTGAGAACGCATACGGGATGATCCTGGGGCGCTACAAGCAGTGCAGCCAAAACCAGACCAAATCGGATCAAATCGCAATGTTTATGCTAACCACGCCGTGTTCTCTGTGCAGTTCGTCCTCTTCGCCGCGTGCGTGGCTGTGGCCCGCGCCGGAGTCCTCCCCGCCGCGCCTGTGGCGTACGCCGCCCCCGCGGCCTACGCTCACGCCCCCGTGGCCTACGCCGCCCCCGCTGCGTACGCTCACCCCGCCCCCCTGGCCTACGCCGCCCCCGCTGTCGCTAAGGTCGCCGCCCCCGTCGCCTACGCCCACGCCCCCGCCCCTGTCCTCGCCAAGGCCGCCGTCGCCGTCGACACCGACTTCGACCCCAACCCCAGCTACGCCTACAACTACGACATCCACGACACCCTGACCGGCGACGCCAAGAGCCAGCAGGAGTCCCGCCAGGGTGACGTCGTCCAGGGCTCCTACTCCCTGGTTGAGCCCGACGGCAGCCGTCGTACCGTCGAGTACACCGCCGACCCCGTCAACGGCTTCAACGCCGTCGTGCACAAGGACGCCCCCGCCGTCGCCGTCAAGGCCGTCGCCGCCCCCGTCGTCGCCAAGGTCGCCGCCCCCGTGGCCTACGCCGCCCCCGCTGCGTACGCCGCCCCCGCGGTCCACGCCGCCCCCGTGGCCTACGCCGCCGCCCCCGCTGTGTACCACCACTAAGTTCCTATTGCCCCCTATTTATTGTACAAAAAAATAAAAGAAATGAAAAGAAACTGACATGTGTATTTATTGCAAAAGACCAGCAATGATCCCGTTAAATATCAGCAGAATAACGGTGAAATGTAACAGTAAAAGTCCAGAGCTGTGAAATCTATTCGATCAAAACCGGACGGCTTCAAATAAAAATCACGCGTTGACAACAACGTTTTTCGCAGGGCAAACATTTTACGGTTTTAATCTTTTCCTTAAAAAAAAACAAAAAAAAAACAGAAGAACTTCTGGATATGATACTTATAGGCCACGAATATCATGCTAATGCAGGTGCACTTTACAGTTTGATTATGAATTTTTACACATCCCTGATTTAAGAGATCAATGCCCTGTGATATATTTTCCATGACTTCCTTCCTACTCACTTTCCATTTAATACTTTCTTAGTCAAGCTGAAGAGCAGACAACAGATGCCCCTCGACACCGTTGGCCGGGGCCGCGGGGCAGCGGAGAGGCCTGACGGGTGTCGTGGAAGCGTTCCATGAGCACGAGCGCGCCGATTTGACGGGTGCGGACAGGGTCACGACCACAGCGGGGCGTTTAGCCTACCTGCCCTTCAGTGTGGCTGCCGATCAAAGCGAGGCCCCACACTGCTATAGAGTCAGTCATACAGTCCGACATACGGCCCGACACTTCAGAAAAATTAGCTTGCATGATTACGATAAATATCATTTTGGAGACTGCTTACGGGATGTACACCCTGCGTTAACCCGCTAAATAAACCGAAAGAAACAGAATCCGAATCGACGCCTGCGGACTGATTCGAGTCGTTTTCGTCGCTCCGGCTCCCTCGCACCCATGCGGTACGCCTTATGAGTGCGGGAGAGACAGAGCGACGAAAACGACTCTCGGAATCAGTCTGCCGTCACAGCCTTCCCCCAGCCGGCTGAGGTCCGCGGCGAGTGGAATGGCCCGTTGCGGCGAAAGAACAGCCGGACATTAATCGGCACAACGAGGAGGAAGCTTGACGGGTACACTGCAGGGGCACCATGCCGACGGCCACCGCGCGAGTGATTCGGCAAAACAGACCGAGGGCCGAGCTCAAGGCGCGCGTACGCTGCAGAAATACAAACCTACACGGCCAGAAACGAGGCCGCGCAGGATTCGCAAACATTGGGCGAAATGATTGGGTTTATGTTTGAAAAAAAAACAGTCCAACCCTTTTCTTGTTCTTGTTCTCGATTTAAATGACAAATGAATTGACAAATGAATGAAAGTGTACAAGAAAGAAACTAACACCTCCTGAGTATTGTTTTTTGCAATGCAGTATGCCCCTTGAACTCGATAAAATAACCTCAACACACACGGAAAAAATTGCTTGTACTACAGGTAATCGATTTTGTTTCGATAAGCTGGATTCGATAGAACAGTACCCACAACCAAACGTTTATGGCCACGACCGAACATTTGTCAGGGGACAACTAAGGGTGTAGAGTGTTATCTCTTACCAAGGCACAAACGGTTCCTGCTTTTCCCAGGTAGCCATTTTTTCCAGCAAAGGCACAGACATTTTCCAGGGAGTGCCTCGGAAAACCAGGAACCATTTTCACCGTGACAAGAGTTCGGTTGGTTGTATCGGGATTTTCGATTGCGACCAAGTCGATCACATCAACATAGCATTTTTTCCCGTGTATGTTCGTCTCGTCGGTGCTGCTCTGAGGAAAACGACTGGCGGGCGGTGCCAACGACGGTGCGGGGCGGGGCGGGGCGATGCGGGGCGGTGCCGGGCCGTGCAAGGGACGCGTCAAGACGGTTCGCGAATTCGGCGCTGGCCTTGTGGTGGTGTGGCGGGCCCTGGCGCGTCGCAGGGGAAGGGGGGCCGAGGGGGGCCGAGGGGGCCCGAGGGGGGCCGAGGGGGGCGCCGCAGGGGCGGGGGCAGGGTGGGCGCAGCGCCTCTCCGGTATAAAAGCGCGCCCGACTGCCAGAACGTTACTACTGTCGGCAAGCAGTTTTCAACCAACACTCCTCAACAATGGCATTCAAGGTGAGCGCGCAATCCAACTCAGGATGACCACTGGCGCTTAGTCCAAGAGGTCGACTTAGTGCTCATCGATAGGCAAGTGTGAATGCACATGCATTTTGAGTTGAAGCCTTAACCACGGCGTGTTCTCTGTGCAGTTCGTCCTCTTCGCCGCGTGCGTGGCTGTGGCCCGCGCCGGAGTCCTCCCCGCCGCGCCAGTGGCGTACGCCGCCCCCGCGGCCTACGCTCACGCCCCCGTGGCCTACGCCGCCCCCGCTGCGTACGCTCACCCCGCCCCCCTGGCCTACGCCGCCCCCGCTGTCGCTAAGGTCGCCGCCCCCGTCGCCTACGCCCACGCCCCCGTTGTCGCAAAGGCCGTTGCCGCCCCCGTCCTGGCCAAGACCGTCGTCGACACCGACTTCGACCCCAACCCCAGCTACGCCTACAACTACGACATCCACGACACCCTGACCGGCGACGCCAAGAGCCAGCAGGAGTCCCGCCAGGGTGACGTCGTCCAGGGCTCCTACTCCCTGGTTGAGCCCGACGGCAGCCGTCGTACCGTCGAGTACACCGCCGACCCCGTCAACGGCTTCAACGCCGTCGTGCACAAGGACGCCCCCGCCGTCGCCGTCAAGGCCGTCGCCGCCCCCGTCGTCGCCAAGGTCGCCGCCCCCGTCGCCTACGCCGCCCCTGCCGTGCACGCCGCCCCCGTGGCCTACGCCGCCCCCATCGCCAAGGTGGCCGCCCCCGTCGCCTACGCCGCTGCCCCCGCTGTCTACCACCACTAAGTTCCTATTGCCCCTATTTATTCAATCCAAAAAAAAAATGAAACAAATAAATCAAACGTAAAAACATGACTTAAACGCACTTGTGTTTATTCCAAGGTGGCCCCACCCAATGTCCCGTTAAACCCCCCACTTAAACCGAACGCACTTCGCAATGCCCAACAACCCAAGGATGCATCTTCTCAAAGCCCCCGAGCAGTGCGACAACCGTAGTTTCTAGTCCAGAGGCTGGGCGTTGGTGTCTAGCGGCTTTACTCCGCACATGGCGCCCGGCGAGGCCGGCACAATTCTTTTCGGTCACCACACCACTCCACACCGGGGCGGGGCGGGGCGGGGCGCCTTTTGACTCTTGGTCTGGAGGCGCCAACGCAATAGACCGCACGATCATCGGAAGGGGTGGGGAGGGGGGGGGGAGAGGAAGCAGCAGCAGCACCAGAGAGAAGAAGAAGAAGAAGAAGAAGAAGCAACGCATCAATCAGCGGTCCAGCCTCGGCAGTCCGATGCCCTGCACCACAAAGGCGGCGCGGCGTGGCGCCTTCAAGGTGCAGTCACCTTGGTCCGGCAGCGCTGAGCAGCGCCACTGGAGTGGCTGGAGCGCACCTACCGGAAGCAGCGGCCACTACACTGGCGATTCGCGCACGCGCGCTTCGACAAGGCAGCGCCCACCGGAAGGAAAAGGAAATGTTTTCGGACAAAAGTCATGATCATTGGGACTAAGATTGTGCGATAGGCCTTTCCGATGGATCTGAACCGGAACCCCAAGCAGTGGAAATATCTGGATCCGGTATGAGAAATCAGGTAAGCGGAGGTCATTCGCACACCCGATTTTGCATACTGTTACTCCTCCGCGCACGATTTCTCATATCGGATCCAGATATTTCTACTGCTTGGGGTTCCGGTTCAGATCCATCGGAAAGGCCTATTCGGATTCTGGGCTGTGCCCTATCCGAGGGAAAAGTTGATAATACCGCCGCGCGATTTTTCACATCAATATCAGTGCAGTTTCGAAACATTCCACCGATTGTCTAATTGCGCGCGACAATGTCGAGCACACGCCGAGGGCCGAGGGCCACCTACACAAGTAACAATAATCGAACACAACGGACAATGCATCGCAATGCGGCCATTCAAGTGGGGCCACGTGGGCGTAACGCAGTAACGCAGGGCAGTGTAACGGCACCTGCGCATGCGCGCGGCTACTTCAAGTTGTTCGAATCGTTGTATGGCGCTCCTGGCACGTTTTCAACCGGTCAGGAAATGGAGGCAAATCGAACGGCAGCTGTTAGGGGCCGTGATGGACGTTGGAATCTGGCAGAAACGTGCCTCGCGGTGCACAGTGGGCCAGAAGACCCAGTAGAGGCGGCCAAAACTCTAGACGCGTTTTGAGCTCCAGAGTCGCTAAGCAGGACGCAAAACGAGCGTGTGACCCCACCAATGGATTCCTCGTTTAGAGACAGGCTCGGACTGGCCAGGGCAGACAGGCAGAAAAATCTGCCGGGGCCTTCGGGTTTGGGACCAGTAACGTCACAAAGTTGGTCAAAAAGTGATTGAATCTCCGAAAGTTGCCGTTTTCGCTGAATTTGAGCGGCCACTGCGTCCGATCTAGTTGCGGCCAACGGCCTCCCTCGACGCCCTAGTATTCGTAAGACCCTACTCTTTCATGCCCTGTATCGGGAAGACGTTGACCACAACGATTTTGCCTTTGACCGCAACGATTTTGGGACCAAAGTTGGTCAAAAAGTGGTCGAATGTCGGAAATTTGCTGATTTTGCTGACTTTGGGCGGTCACTGTGTCAAATCTAGTTGCCGTAAAAGGCCTCCCTCGACGTCCTAGTATTCTTAAGACCCTACTCTTTCATGCCCTGTATCAGGAAGGCGTTGACCACAACGATTTTGCCTTTGACCGCAACGATTTTGGGACCAAAGTTGGTCAAAAAGTGGTCGAATGTCGGAAATTTGCTGATTTTGCTGACTTTGGGCGGCCACTGTGTCCAATCTAGTTGCCGTAAAAGGCCTCCCTCGACGTCCTAGTATTCTTAAGACCCTACTCTTTCATGCCCTGTATCAGGAAGGCGTTGACCACAACGATTTTGCCTTTGACCGCAACGATTTTGGGACCAAAGTTGGTCAAAAAGTGGTCGAATGTCGGAAATTTGCTGATTTTGCTGACTTTGGGCGGCCACTGTGTCCAATCTAGTTGCCGTAAAAGGCCTCCCTCGACGTCCTAGTATTCTTAAGACCCTACTCTTTCATGCCCAGTATCGGGAAGGTTGGGAGCGGTAGTCTCACAAAGTTGGCCATGAAGGGTAAAAGCCCATTTAGCGACTCTGGGACTCAAAACGCGTCTAGAGTTTTGGCCGCCTGCGCCGTTCTTCTGGCCCACTGCGCGGCGTATGCAAAATGCATGCGACCCGGCCTGCGACGCGCGCAGCGCGCACGGCCATCGTTTACTGGCGGCTCTTTATTTGCACGGTGCAGCCACACACCGCCGTGGCACCGCCAATGCAAAGGTCTGGCGTGTAACGGCCGAGGCTAGCCTCAGCAAGGGCGTCCTCAGACACGACAGGGCCCGTCCCGCAGCGACCTGCCTCTCGTAACAAAGGGCTCGTCTCAAGTTCACTGCAAAAACTTCTCTAGTTTGGAAAATTGGGCACGGGAAGAGTACAGGCCTTCCGCAGTGTATCTCCGCTGTTCCCATGTGGATCTCATCTCATGTAAACTGGTGTGAGTGCAGAACCTACGTAGTTGCGAAGGTGCGAATAGCCCAGGAAAATAGTTGATCAGACATGTGTTCCGTACTTTTTCTGTACCATTTTCAACCAGTGTCCATTGCGCAACTAGAGTCTCTATCTCTCGGCCAAGTCGGTCCAGTTTCACCGAACACACTGTTGCCAACTACAGCCTCAAAACTCGATCCGAAAGACGACGAGGACCTAATAAGGTATAGGACATTGTCCACGGGACCTCGACAGGTGATGCACCTTTGCCGGAACAGATTCCGTTCTAGAGCCATGCGCGGCCCTGGCAAGGATACCGCGTGTCCTGCGGCCGTTCGATCCACGCCGTTCCTTCCTGCAGGACGTTCCAGAACTTCCCTGACTCGGCCAGCGAAAACAGAACCTGGAACCGTTCAGCTGCTTACGCACCGTGGGCCAGAAGACCGATGGAGGCGGCCAAAACTCCAGACGCGTTTAGAGCTCCAGAGTCGCTAAGCAGGACTCGAATCGAGCGAGTGACCCCACCAATGGATTCCTCGTGCGGAGAGCAATCCATTGGTGGGGTCACACGTTCGACTCGAGTCCCATTCAGCGACTCTGGAGCTCAAAACGCGTCTGGAGTTTTGGCCGCCTCCACCGGTCTTCTGGTCTTCTGGCCCACTGTGTTACGCCATAAATCACTGGCGGGTCAACGGTCCAGTCCTTCAGGCCCCCTCAGGCCCTTCAGGCCTGGATCTAGATGGCGGGTTCCGTACAAGTCCGTGCTCCATCTCGCAGCGACAAAGACCGCTGCATTTAGGTCAGGTTTGTACGGCACATTCATGCATATGCCGATGAATTAGACAGAGACAGCGGCGGGGGGAGGGGAAGGACACTCGCTACCCTGCTGGAAATCGGGCCGACAACAACTTAGACACGCACGCAATGGCTTGGAATAAATCTAGATCCTTACTTGCCAGGGCTCGGAGAGGTCATTGCCTTCCAGCGCAACCACCAAACATCCCAATTTGACTCGGTCGCCCTGCACCCCCACTTCCATCCTCGCCTCTCCGTCACTCACACACACACACTCTCTCTCTCTCCCACACACAGAGCGTTCGATAGATAACACTGCCCTACCTCACCCCTTGCATGCAGCGGCGCCATGCGGTGCAGCACTGCACACACACACACACATGCACAAACTGCATCGCCTCTAGGATTGCCCAAGAGGGAAGGTATATAAGCCCTGAGCACGGGGGCGGCAGCCAGTGAGTCCGCGCGCGCCCTTTGCACCACAGCGCCCCGCCGCGCCACCCGCCGCGCCACCCGCGCCCTCGGCCACCAACGCCATGGCCCTCCTCCTCGTGGTGAGTCCGCCGTTCGTTCTCCTCGCCTCGGAAGTGTTCAAAGTGACGCGTCCCTTTCAAACGTATTCCACCTTCAAGTTGGTGAGATGAATAGGAGGCACCGTTCGCCACGCTAAAAAAGCTTCCTGAACTTGAAGTTACCTCCGTGTTACGCCCTGGCGTTTGCCCCCCTGATGGAATGGACGCACGACTGTCAACGGCCCGCCGCGATCGCGGGAAGGATAACAAACCCGCCACTTCGGTCCGCAGGACACTTCGGTCCGCAGGACACTTCGGTCCGCAGGACACTTCGGTCCGCAGGACACTTCGGTCCGCAGGACACTTCGGTCCACGGGGAACGGCCAGCCTCTTTGAAATTCCAACTCCGGCCCTGTTGTAGGCGAAGACCTTGCCGAGTCCGACGCACTGCCGACGCGTTTCGACTTCCTGCCTCGGCCAATGAAGGCTGGCCCGTTACTTGGTGGGTAATCTCCGTCATTCCCGCCAAGTCGAGCCAAGGACGGCAACATGAGCCCGAAAAGCAGCCCGGGCCCGAATCGGGCGGGACCGATCGCTGCGTGGAAAGGACCAGCCCGAAAAGGGGAACCACCACGAGCCCAAGGGAAATAAACACGGCAAATTTCCTTTTCCATTCCTTTATTTGTGCGGTCGCGCGGGCATTGCCCGTTACAGTGCCGGGCGCGGAAGAGGCAGGCCGCTCTGCGGTAACGTCGGTAACGCCGCGCCGACGTTCACGGCCAAGGTCCCACTCTCACTTTCCACGAGGAAAGCAAGCCAGGCGGCGACGGCCGGCGACGCGACGCCCGGTACACCTACTGTGGAGGAAAAAAGTTGCTCCGCGAACGACGTGCATTTTTGTTGTTTTATGCATTGAAACGAACCGCACTTCTCATTTCAAATGCGTAGAATGTGATCAACTTGTGTTTCTTTGCCTACATTTGAATGTAATTATCCTCTCACAAGCCAATGAACGCGATAAACGCTATTTTTTCAGGTGGCCGCGCTGTTCGGCGTGGCGTCATTGGCGTCCGGAGGGGTGGTGGGGCCCGGCCCCCTGCCCGGCCCCTACCCCGGCCCCTACCCTGGCCCCCTCCCCGGCCCCTACCCCGGGCCGCTGGGCTACCCGGGCCCCCTCCCAGGCCCCCTGCCTGGCCCCCTGCCCGGCCCCGTCGGGCCCCTGGCGTACGCTCCCGCCCCCGCACCCGTCGCGCCGGTCCTGGCCTACGCCAAGTACGCCCCCGCCGCGCCGGTGTACCCGGACTCCATTCCCAAGTACAGCTTCGGCTACTCCGTGCAGGTGAGTGCGGGCCGCGCCCCTAGATGGGCAGCCCGACGGACGGGCACTTCGACGGACACGCTCTGACCCCGCGCCTCGGCCCGCGCGTTGCAGGACGCGCACACGGGCGACGCCAAGAGCCAGCACGAGAGCCGCGACGGCGACGTGGTCCACGGCAGCTACTCGCTCATCGAGCCCGACGGCGCCACCCGCACCGTGCACTACACGGCCGACCCGCACAACGGCTTCAACGCCGTGGTGGACCGCACGCCCGCCGCGCACCCGCTGCCCGCGCCCGCGCCGCTCAAGGTAGGCCTCGGCGTGGACGACGGCTGCAATGCGAGCGACGCGCAGCGCCTACAAGCACGTCCTGTTGCAGGTGGTGCCGGCGCCGCTGCCCGGTCCTCTGCCCTACCCGGGGCCGCTGCCAGGACCCTACCCAGGCCCGGGGCCGTACCCGGGGCCGCTGCCGGGGCCTCTACCGGGGCCTCTACCGGGCCATACGGCCCGTACCTCCACGGCTAGCCCGCCGCGCAGCCCGCGGCGTCGCAGCCGCACCGCCATCCAGTGCCGAGTGCAACGAGTGTACCGCAACCGTTCCATAAAGGAAACAAAGCCAAAAACTCGCCCTTCTCATTACCCCACTGGGGCCGTAAAACCCACGCACGCCTTAACGCTCTGTCTCTCTCGCGCCGCCACGAGGCGCCCCCGCGTGCGAGAGAGACAGCCAGCCGGGCCATTCCGCGAGTCAACTGCATTACGCTAGCGTTGATCGATTTCGATCACGTCCCGGCACGCCCGCCGAGGCTCCCACTGCCGGCGGACACAAGAAAGGAGGAGGAGGAGAACAGAGGAGAAGCAGAAGAAAAGGGAGACACTTGCCCCCTCCCGCCACACCGCGGCGCACACACGGGACAGGGGCGGGTCCAGGGAAGGGGAAGGGGAGGGGGTCTCAACAGTGAAAGTGAGACGGAATGAGGGTCAGGGTCTTCCAGCCCGCTGTGCAGGTTGCTGCCCCGCCCGCCCCGCCACGCCCCGCCACGCCCCGCCAACAGCCAGGTACTCTCGATGACGTAGTGCTCCAGCTCCAGGTCTGTTCCGCACCGCTCTAGCCTCCAGAACGTTCCAGCGGGCGGCGTCCGTCCTCCACTAGGCTCCAGCACGGCTGCAGCCCGGCGGCCGCGGCAGAGCATTGTCCGCCACTCTGCAGGTGCTAAGCCAAGCTAAGCCAGCTGCTTCATTAGCCACTCCGCCACCTGGCCGTGGCAGGCCGTGGCAGGCCGCCACAACACACTCATGCATGCATCGACACACACACGCTCTCAGACACTGCTCGGGGCAAGATCGCGACAAAGGGACCGTGAGAACGCACAGCTGCTTCCTCCAGAAGCAGCCCTGAGGCTCGGGCCATCCTCGTCGAAGGGCCCGGCGGGGAAGACGACGAGACTCAATTCAAGGACGCGTGAGCCTGGCCACGCCGCGCCCCCCCGCCCCGCCCCGCCCGACCACGCCCGGCCGGGCCGGCCCGCTCCTCGGCTCGACCCCCACGATCTGCCGGCTCCGGTATTGCGACACATGCACGGTCTCACTTCAAGGTCCCCCCTCCTCTGGCACCGCGAGCGCCCCACCGAGCGGCAAGCAAGCGGCACCCACTGAACCCGCGGCGTGGGCCAAAAAGGACACATGCGAGCCCCCGGGCCGCCCCGGGCCGCCCCGGGCCCAGAGGAACCAAACGGGAAAAAATAACCGAAAAGGACGCGCAGCCGAAGCAAGGGCCGGTGCGGCGCATCGAACGCCACGGCGGAGGACGACGGCAAGCCAACGAGAGCACCACGACGACGAGCGCCAGAAGGGCGGGGCGCGCGGGGCACGGCAGACGCACCGGCCGGCCCACGGCTTGATGGGAAATTCATGAGTGCGATGGCATCGCCTGCCGGCAAAGGTCGTGACAAGGATGAGGCTGGGCGGGGCGCCGAGCCGTTCAAGCCCAGGGCCTCGTGGAAGGCCTCGCCGTCGACGTAAAGGTCCCTGCACCTCGCGGCGCGCGTTGGCGGGTTCGCAGTGTACCCGTCCGGGGCCCGTCGGTAAGTGAGGCTCGGGGGCGACGACGATGGCATAGCCGCCACGGCCGCCCGGCCCGCGGCCCCGCGGCGGACAACCAGAGCGTCAAGACAAAGCGCCCGCGGTGCACGCCCGGCCCCAGCATGGCGTCCGCGTCCCGGCCAGCACGGCCAGCCCAGCCAGCCCCCAGGGCCCAGGCAAGCTGGTGTGTCCTCTGGAATTGGACCAGGTCTACAGTGTCTGCGCGGCCGACCGCTAGAGGGCAGCAGCCGACGCGCGCGCCAGGGAGGGCTGGGACGCACGGCCAGTGGGAGGCCTACCCCCACGGGGCGGCTGCACCTCGGCGAGCACGAAGGGCTGCCAGCGCGGCGGGCGCCACCGAGCACGTCGGAAGGGTTGCCAGCTCAGCCGGCGGCGAGCTCCGCGGCGAGTCCCTGTCCCTACCTGTGTCGCCACGATCCGCGCGGCCCGCTGAGGAAGCTGCTGGTGGTCCTCCACTGTCGGCGCACCAAGAGCTGCCGGTTGCGCTGCTGGCTCTGCACGTTGCCGTACCGCACGTTGTCTTCGGCGGCGCGCGCGCGGAACGGCACGCCGATTTGCTCCTGCAACATCCAAAGTCTCCGTGAGGATGCCAACTGGGATCATCACTGTTTGCTGTTCTCCGCTAAAAACATGAATTGAAAACGTCATACGTCGGGCAGCGATGCAATTGCCCACAACGAAAACAAAACGAACCTCTCCGTCGAGAATTCACTCCACATGCGCTCTCTCTCTCTCTCTCTCTCTCTCTCTCTCTCTCTCTCTCTCTCTCTCACACACACACACACACACACACGCACACACACACACACACACACACACGCTGGCGAGGCCCCAGACGAGATAATCCGCGACGACGGACCGCGGCACCGCGGCGGCTTGACGGATGGCGGCGGTAGTTGCGGTAATAATGGTCGTGGCGCGGCGTGGCCGCGGTGACAGCGTCGTCGCCGAGGTGATCGACCCCCGTTCCGTCTTGGCGCTTCGCGGCGCGTCGCAGCGTCACGGATTCTCCTCCAGCCTCTGAGAGCATTTCTTCTCTCTGAGAGTATATCTTCTCTCTGAGAGTGTATCTTCTCTCTGAGAGCATATCTTCTCTCTGAGAGCATTTCTTCTCTCTGAGAGTATATCTTCTCTCTGAGAGTATATCTTCTCTTTGAGAATATATCTTCTCTTTGTGAGCAGCCTTTTCAAGCATCGAGAGTATTCATTTTACCCAAGAACCTTTCTTTTTCCCTCAGAGCGGTAAGCACAATCAATCAAAATAATCTTTGTTCAAAAGCCCCCTGCGTAAAGACTTTTTGGAAACTAGAAAAACGTCGAGGAAGAAATTGGTAGTCGAAAACTGCAAAATGTTCTTCTCCTTCCGGCCGTGCCGGACCGGACACTGCCGTGCCTTCCGGACGTACGTCACCATGACAACGAACCGCGACCACCCTGCAGTGTGCGGCCGCCTGCTGGCCCTGCATGGCCCTGCATGGCATGCCCCAGCAATTGCCCTGATGGCCCGCGGCAGTCCGCGGCCAGTCACGAGCACTATGCCGCGCGCGTCCGCGAGTCCGTCCGCCAGTGAGCCTGTGTGTGTGCATTATGTGCGTACCCACGTGTGTGTGTGTGTGTGTGTGTGCGTGCGTGTGTGTGTGTGTGTGTGTGTGTGCGTGTGCGCGTGTGTGTGTGTGTGTGGTGAGGCCTGCAAATGGTCCGGCCGTGGCGGGCCGTCCTGTCCGTCTTGGCCCCGTGGAGCGCGTCACGCTGTTACATCAAACCCGAACTAACTCTTCTTCGCTTCCCCGACTTCCCCATCGCCGTAACGCGCAACCGCGCAACGGCAGACCTAGGCCGCCGTTTCGACCACCAGACACGCATTGTTTTTTGTTGTTTTTAGGTCAGGCGTATCAAAGCTTGAGCTATTACTCGCAAAATGTGCGAGGCTGTGTGTACAGTTTGGTCAGAGGCCTAGGTTTGGGAACTGTGGAGGCTGGGGCTGGGTTGGCCCGGCTAGGCTTTTGGGCCTGCTCAATACGTTCTTTTGATTTGGCATATTTTTTTGTTGCCCCAGCGTCGCCGTGGCCTGTCCGGTTTTTGACTTCCGGCTACCGGGTTTACAAGTATACGGGTGGGAGGTTTCCCCACAGTTCCTTTTGGGTTGCTTGCTTGCCCATAATTGCCCTCTTTTTCGGCCGCGGCTCTGGCTGCCCCCTCTTGGCCCCTGATTTGCCGCAACAGTCGGCGCCCCACGGCGGACAGGCCCATACGCTGCCTCCCCTCCTTTTTATGGCCGCGCCGCCGCGGCCCCTGTTCGAGCCGTCATAAACGGCGCTCAGCGGGTCCCTAATTTTTACGGCCGTCACTATGGAAGACTTCAGTCTTCGCGTGCATTTTGTACGCAACCACACCAATTGTTTTTGGAGTGTGACAGGTCAATAGCTCATGATTAACGACAATTTTGATACCAGCAACAAAAATGTGACGGTAGGGAATATTATTCAGCCTGCTGATGCGTTCTGGGCGCAATCTCGAGCATCAGTTCGCAAGTGAAACAAAACCGCGGCCAGAGCTAGGCCGAAACAGAGCCCGGCGCCTCCCGGCCAACGCCACCAGGACCGCGGCCGCGCACACCCAAGCTTGACCTGGCCCTGAGCTGAAGCAAAGCTCTCAGCAGAGGTTTTTTTGTTGCCGTATACGCCTCATGGTTTTGTTTTCCCCATCGGGATTTGCCCTTTTTTGGCGCCCATCGCGGCGTAAACGGCTTTTGCCGCCTCCGGTTTTTTTTGCCGTACGGTTTTTGATTTGCCTCACGGTTTTGTTTGGCTCGGTTTTGGTTGTTGGTTTTGGTTGCCCTGGTTTTGGGTTTCCTCAAGGTTTTTGGCCCTTTCCGGTTTTTTTCCGCTGGTTTTTGGCCTTTAAGGGCTTTTTCCCCATACTTTTTGTTTCCGAACTTTTTTTTGCCGTAACGGCGGCGCCCTAGGGTTTGCCCCAAGGGTTTTTTTTGGGTGGTTTTTGGTCGCCTCAAGTTTTTGGTTTCCTCAATTTTTGGCTGTTACGGTTTTTTTGGCTAGGTTTTTTTTTTGGGGTTTTTGGTCTCCTCATAGGTTTTTTTTCCCAAGGTTTTTGTTTGCCATAGGGTTTTTTTGTTGCCTATCGGTTTTTGTTTGCCCATACGGTTTTTGTTTGCCGATACGGTTTTGGTTGCCTATAGGGTTTTTGTTGCCTCATACGGTTTTTGATTTGCCTCATACGGTTTTTGTTTGCCGCATACGGTTTTGGTCTGCCTCATACGGTTTTGGGTTCTGCCCATACGGCTTTTTGCTGCCTCATACGGTTTTGGTTTGCCTCATACGGTTTTTGATTTGCCTCATACGGTTTTTGATTTGCCGCATACGGTTTTTGGTCTGCCTCATACGGCTTTTGGTCTGCCTCATACGGCTTTTGGTTTGCCTCATACGGTTTTTGATTTGCCGCATACGGTTTTTGATTTGCCGCATACGGTTTTTGGTCTGCCTCATACGGTTTTTGGTCTGCCTCATACGGTTTTTGATTGCCTCATACGGTTTTGATTTGCCGCATACGGTTTTTTGTTTGCCTCATACGGCTTTTGGTCTGCCTCATACGGTTTTGATTTGCCCATACGGTTTTGGTCTGCCTCATACGGTTTTTGATTTGCCTCATACGGTTTTTGTTGCCTCATACGGTTTTTTGGATTTGCCTCATACGGTTTTTGATTTGCCGCATACGGTTTTTGGTTGCCTCATACGGCTTTTGTCTGCCCATACGGTTTTTGTTTGCCCATACGGTTTTGGTTTGCCTCATACGGTTTTGATTTGCCCATACGGTTTTTGATTTGCCTCATACGGTTTTTGATTGCCGCATACGGTTTTTGGTCTGCCTCATCGGCTTTGGTCTGCCTCATACGGCTTTTGGTCTGCCCATACGGTTTTGTTTGCCGCATACGGTTTTGATTTGCCGCATACGGTTTTGGGTCTGCCCATACGGTTTTTGGTCTGCCTCATACGGTTTTGGTCTGCCTCATACGGTTTTTGTTTGCCTCATACGGTTTTTGATTTGCCGCATACGGTTTTGTTTGCCTATACTTTTTTTGGGTTTGCCCATAGGGTTTTTTGGGTTTGCCCATACGGTTTTTGGTTGCCTATACGGCTTTTGGTCTGCCTCATACGGTTTTTGATTTGCCGCATACGGTTTTTTGTTTGCCGTATACGGCTTTTGGTCTGCCTCATACGGTTTTTGATTTGCCTCATACGGTTTTTGATTTGCCTCATACGGTTTTTGATTTGCCTCATACGGTTTTTGATTTGCCGCATACGGTTTTTGGTCTGCCTCATACGGCTTTTGGTCTGCCTCATACGGCTTTTGTTTTGCCTCATACGGTTTTTGATTTGCCTCATACGGTTTTTGATTTGCCGCATACGGTTTTTGGTCTGCCTCATACGGCTTTTGGTCTGCCTCATACGGCTTTTGGTCTGCCTCATACGGTTTTTGATTTGCCGCATACGGTTTTTTGTTTGCCGTATACGGCTTTTGGTCTGCCTCATACGGTTTTTGGTCTGCCTCATACGGTTTTTGATTTGCCTCATACGGTTTTTGATTTGCCGCATACGGTTTTTGGTTTGCTCATACGGTTTTGGTCTGCCTCATACGGTTTTTGATTTGCCCATACGGTTTTGGTTTGCCTCATACGGTTTTTGATTTGCCTCATACGGTTTTTGATTTGCCTCATACGGTTTTTGATTTGCCCATAGGGTTTTTTTGGTTTGCCTCATACGGTTTTGGTCTGCCTCATACGGCTTTTGGTCTGCCTCATACGGTTTTTGATTTGCCGCATAGGGTTTTTTTGTTTGCCGTATACGGTTTTGGTCTGCCTCATACGGTTTTTGATTTGCCGCATACGGTTTTTTGTTTGCCGTATACGGCTTTTGGTCTGCCTCATACGGTTTTTGATTTGCCGCATACGGTTTTTTGTTTGCCGTATACGGCTTTTGGTCTGCCTCATACGGTTTTTGATTTGCCTCATACGGTTTTTGATTTGCCTCATACGGTTTTTGATTTGCCGCATACGGTTTTTGGTCTGCCTCATACGGCTTTTGGTCTGCCTCATACGGCTTTTGGTCTGCCTCATACGGTTTTTGATTTGCCGCATACGGTTTTTGATTTGCCTCATACGGTTTTTGATTTGCCGCATACGGTTTTTGGTCTGCCTCATACGGCTTTTGGTCTGCCTCATACGGCTTTTGGTCTGCCTCATACGGTTTTTGATTTGCCGCATACGGTTTTTTGTTTGCCTATACGGCTTTTGGTCTGCCTCATACGGTTTTTGGTCTGCCTCATACGGTTTTTGATTTGCCTCATACGGTTTTTGATTTGCCGCATACGGTTTTTGGTCTGCCTCATACGGCTTTTGGTCTGCCTCATACGGTTTTTGATTTGCCGCATACGGTTTTTGATTTGCCTCATACGGTTTTTGATTTGCCGCATACGGTTTTTGATTTGCCTCATACGGTTTTTGATTTGCCGCATACGGTTTTTGGTCTGCCTCATACGGTTTTTGGTTTGCCTCATACGGCTTTTGGTCTGCCTCATACGGTTTTTGATTTGCCGCATACGGTTTTTTGTTTGCCGTATACGGCTTTTGGTCTGCCTCATAGGGTTTTTTTGATTTGCCGCATAGGGTTTTTTTTGTTTGCCGTATACGGCTTTTGGTCTGCCTCATACGGTTTTTGATTTGCCGCATACGGTTTTTTGTTTGCCGTATACGGCTTTTGGTCTGCCTCATACGGTTTTTGATTTGCCGCATACGGTTTTTTGTTTGCCGTATACGGCTTTTGGTCTGCCTCATACGGTTTTTGATTTGCCGCATACGGTTTTTTGTTTGCCGTATACGGCTTTTGGTCTGCCTCATACGGTTTTTTTTTCATAACTATATGCAGTATAGTTTCTTCGCTTCTGACGGTGCTGCTCGTTGGCCGGGTGGATGTAGCCGCCGGCGTACGTCAGCAGCGCGATGAGCTTGCCAGGTTGTCTGTCAGCCCGCTCGGCTCCGCGCTCGGCGCCACCCGCGTCCTGGCCGTGCTGGCCGTGCTCGCCGATCCGGCCGAGGCAAGGGCGCCACCGGGGCCGCGGGGTGCTGGGGGCGCTCGGGGCGTTCGCGGCCCCGGACGGCGTTGCCCACTGTCCGACGTGACTTTCTCTGAGCGGGGCGGGGCGGGGCGGGGAGGCTGCGACGGATTGCCATCACCGGAGCAACAGGAGCTGGCCGTCGATGTCGTTCGGGAAGGAACCTCCGGGAGGGGGCCGCCCTGCCCTGCCGCCCTGTAGACTGATTCGCTTTCGTCGCTGTCTCTCTCGCAACTCTCGGGGTGCCCGGTACGGGTGCGAGAGAGACAGAGCGACGAAAGTGACTCTCGGAATCAGTCTGCTGGCGCCTTGCCGCCCGGGCCGTGGCCGGGCAGGGCGAATCCAAGAGTGGCCAGGGCGGCGCCGCTCCGCGCAAGCAGCGCAAGGCCCTCGCGATATTTCTCGGAATCAATTAGCAAAACATGACAAACAACAAACAATTCCGCGGCCCTTCCGGCGGAAGCGAATTACCGAGTGCTTGCCTGCAGGCTGTCGTGCGCCCACCGGTTAGCCAATTGGAGAGAGAGAGAAGGACGACGGGCGGAGGAGAGAGAGAGAGAGAGAGAGAGAGAGAGAGAGAGAGAGAGAGAGAGAGAGAGAGAGAGAGAGAGAGAGAGAGACGCCCGCATGCCCCGCCCCATCCTTCATCCACACGCACAATGTACGCGGCGGCGCTCGGACCGCGTACATCACGGTCCACCCCAAGGGGCCTACTGGCCGGCCGCCGCTGCCTCTCTCGCACTCGCCGGGCGTTCAGCAGTGGGGCGACAGAGACGGGGCGACGGAGCCCCGAGGAGGCCAATAAGTAACGAGCCGCGGCGGTCGCGGACGGCACGGCGCGGCGGACGACAGAGACCGGAAAAGAAAAGAAAAGAAGTTTGCAGCGGCCGACGCGTCGGCTCCGGTCGTGGAAATACATACGTTTCAGATCGTAATTTGCTTCTGCGTTCCACACGTGTGCTTTCTAAGCTAACCAACCGGGTGCCCGGCGTGGCGTGGCGTGGCGCGCCGTGGCTCCGCCTCCCGGGGGCTTCCATTTGGGGCAAGTGACGGGCGAGGAGCCCCGGGGGCCCGGGGCCGCGGCGCGCGGCCCGCGCGGCGGACCGGGCCGGGGGGCGCCCGACGCGCGGCTCCGGTCGTGGCCCAGATCGTCCGCGCCCCGTGTGCCGCACCCCGCCCGCCGGCGGCGTGCCGCCGGCCCCGCCCGCCCCCCCTCCTGTTCCGCGCCCCGCCCCGCCCCGCCGCGCCCCGCCCCGCCCCGCCACCCCGCGCCCGCCGCGCCACGCCGCGCCGCGCCACGCCGCAGTGGTTTGCCGCGAGAAAGTGTCTCTGCCCCAACACGCCGCGTGATATCCCGCAAAGCACAAGAATGCCTGCATGATGGCCGCACCGCGCCTGCAGGGCCACAGGCAGGACCACGGGCTTAGCCGTGGGTGTGTGCAGTCCAGGCGCACCAACCCCCACCCCGAGCAGGGTCTCCAAGCGGCGCCCGAAAAACACTTGCGTCGACAAGATTATCAAGCTTAAACTTTTAACTTTTTACTGCCAAACACTCTGAATCCAGTGTGAGCCGAGCCGCCGCGACGTCGCCGCGAGACGGCGTTCCAGTGGACGGCGTTCCAGTCATCGGCACGTCCAGCGCGCCCCAGGCCTGCAGGGGCAGGAAGTGGACGCGCCGCGGAACCGCCCCCGCCGGTCCGCCAATCCGGCTGGCCGGTGAGTCCGGAACTCGGAGCCGCCGCGCCACCGCCATGCCACCAGAAACAGAAACTGCTTCGGCGGCTCGCGGCGCGGCGCGGCTCGGGTTGCATCGACAGTGACACCACCCACACTAGAAAGCCGACGTCGGCAAACGCTCTCATCGCGCTAACTGTCGCCGTCGCGAGGCAGCGTCGCCCTGTCTCTCTCGCATGCACCCTACCTCGGCCCGCGAGCGCGAGAGAGGCAGGGCGACGCCGCTGTGGTGAATCATTGCTGCATTCCCCATTCTCGCTTCGGTCGCGTACCGGCCGCGTGGATCCCTGCCAAACGGCGGACGCGGCGGACGCCAAACGCCCGGCGCGACTCCGAGCGACTCCCACCGGATGCACAGAGAAAAGCACGCCGACTCAATGACTCCGCCAAGTCGGTGCATTCCCACCATCATACCGCTAGAGCGTGCAGCGCGCGGCGGCGTGCAGAGCGCAGCGTGCAGAGTCCGACGCCCCGGAAAAAGTGTCCGCCTTGACCAGCCCGGTTTGATTCAGCGTGTGGGAGTCGCCGCGGGCCTCGAGGACCTGGGACGCAGCCAGCCAAGCGTCTGTCTCTCTCGCACCCATTGAACAGTTAGCCAGATATACAGGCAGAGCGCACGATTCAGCGCGCAGGGTCTCGTGGCGGACTGGCGCATAGTGGATCGGAAGACCGGCGGAGGCGATCTAAATCCCGGACGCGTTTGGAGCTCCAGAGTCGCTAAATGGGACTCGAACCGAACGTGTGACCCCACCAAAGGATTGCTCTCCGAATGAGGAATCCATTGCTGGAGTCACACGCTCGGTTCGAGTCCTGTTTAGCGACTTTCGAGCTCAAAACGCGTCTACAATTTAGGGCCGCCTGCACCGGTCTTCTGGCCCACTGTGTGGCGGGCCCATCGACGCGCCGCCAGAGCGGCACCGAGACCACGACGGCGTGCATACGCGGTCCGCCTGCACCTTTTGGCCCACGGTGGCGGGCGTGGCGGGGCCGCCAGAGCGGCCGAGCCCGCGGCGTGACGCGACGTCCTGCGTGCAAAGTGGAACACGGCGGCGTGGCGTGGCGTGGCGTGGCGTGGCGTGGCGTGGCGTCCCGGAGCGGCGCAAAAATGACTTCCACAAATCAAGCAGCGGCAGATGCTGCATGTCCGTTCGTACGAGTCCGCGCGGGCATGAACGGAAAGACACACACGCACGCACGCAGGAACAGACACACGGCGAGAGATAGACGTATTGGCCCGTCGTATAGCAGCGCGGCACGCGTACGCCGACAGGCACGTGATGAACGGCCTATCGGCAAAAACGCGCCGTTGCGTCTCAAGTGCGGTGCGGCGCGGCGCGGCGCAACATCCGGACGACGACGACGACGGCGACGACGACGCGGCAGCCAGCCGATTTATGGCGAAGCGCCGAAAAACCAACACCGAAAGTGCAACGCCACAAACGCGCCAACAGCAGGGGCATAACGACAGCGAGGCGCGGATGCGAAGAAACTCCCGCGACCGCACGGAGCGGCGGCGCAGCGGCGCAGCCCTGCTCACAAGTTTCCACGTGCGAGGCCGCTGCGCGCTCACTCCTTTTTCCAGCGAGGTGTCCAACCCTTGTCATGAGCGAGTAAACGTGTTTGGAGTAATCTCGCCGAGCCCGCCGCGGTTATCGCAAAGCGCCTGCACTAATAAAACCAGTCCGGGCGCGCCATTCCGAAGAGCGGTTTCGTCGCTGAGTGTGTGTGCGCGTCTGTCCCTGAGGGGCGCCCCGTGAGTGCGAGAGAGACAGAGCGACGAGACGACTCTCCAGTCGGAAGGCGCCCGCGCGCTAGCGCCGGGCCAGCGCCGCAGCGCCACACAGGCCGGGTGTAACATTTCACGCCCCTTTTCGATACAATCTTCCGAGCAGGCGAGAAACGCGGCAACGCGCACACACACACACACACACACACACACACGAGAGAGAGACTCGATCATTTTCAGTCGCATCCTCGTCATGAAGCCTCCCAGCAAGTTTAATAGCAGAGCTGCGCCCACGGCCGCGCCAGAGCCAGAGCTGCCCGTCCGCGTCCGCGTCCGTGGCCTCATCATCATCTTCCTCGTACTTCGGACGGCCTCCCTTGACACCCTCGACGCCGTGCCGGCCGTGCCGCTGCCCTAGCGCCGCGCCGACCCTTGCATTACTTTCACCTGCAGGTGGCCCTGCCGGCCCTGGGCGCCGCCGCGCCGCCGCCACTGTCCACGCGCGTACACGCGGGTACGTGTACACAGACATGCCGAAAACAAGGCGCCGACATGGGGCCGCCGGGGGCCGGGCCGCGGTGGCCACACGTAATATTGAGTTACACATATCGCACGGTCATTTAGGTGAAAGCTGGAACGCCGGGCGGGGCGTGGCGGGGCGTGGCGTGGCGTGCCACGTGCATTGCGGCGAGCAGAGCGTCATTCCACGTGCCGAACCGGGCGAAGATGCGCGTCGCGGCAGGGAGAGGGGATAGATAGACACACACACACACACACACACTGACCTGGAAGCGGATTTTGCTGGCGGCCACCTCGCGGTGGCGCTTGAGGGCGGACGCCTTGGACGCCTCGTAGCACTCGGCCCAGAAGGTGTTCATGGCCTCGGTCACCTGCGAGGACAGCGTGGCCTTGTAGGAATCGTGCAGCGGCTTCACCTGCAACAAGGGAGAGGGAGGGCGGGTCATTTTCATGATCCGAAAACAAACAGCCTGAGGCGAAATTCCCAAGCAACGTGCCAAAAAAAAATCTCTAAAAAAGGAAGAAACAAAAAATAAAACAATTACAAAGAGCTCCAATAGCCAGTGCGTTGGCGCAAACAACAGAGTGCTGCCTACGCCCCGCGGGGCGGGCTGAGCGATCGCCTAGCAAATTAAAGAGTCCCGCCGGCGCCACGCGGCGCCACGCACAAAGACGGCTTGCCGTGGGCCGCCCGAGCACAAAGGGCGTCGTTGGCCGACCTTTTGGACCGCCTTTGGACCGCCTTTTGGACCGCATTCCGGCTGCACCCGTCACATCACCGCTGCCGAATCCTCGGCGCCCGGGCCAGCCCTCGGGCCGGGCCAGCCTGATTGAACTGAAGCCGCCTGACTTTCGCTCCCGGCGTGACACCTCCACTGTGCTTGCGCCGCTTGCGCTGTACGCCACGCACGCCACGGGTTGGAATTGAAATCAGTCGACAGACGCGTGCCCAGGCAACGGCTACCGTTCACTGTCGTTTTTTCTTAATCAAATTATAAGTTTGAGTGCAATGAATGCTTTTTGGAGCCTGCAAGGTAGTTTAGATTTGGCTTGGAGCGAGAAACTTAAGCAAGGAGTTGACTGAAACAATTGCTAAAGATTGAAAAGATTGAAAAAGTGCGGACCAGCAGGGCAAGCAGGGAGCCTAGGGAGCCTTGCAGGGAGCCTTGCAGGGAGCCTTGCAGGGAGCCTTGCAGGGAGCCTTGCAGGGAGCCTTGCAGGGAGCCTTGCAGGGAGCCTTGCAGGGAGCCTTGCAGGGAGCCTTGCAGGGAGCCTTGCAGGGAGCCTTGCGGGGAGCCTTGCGGGGAGCCTTGCAGGGAGCCTTGCAGGGAGCCTTGCAGGGAGCCTTGCAGGGAGCCTTGCAGGGAGCCTTGCAGGGAGCCTTGCAGGGAGCCGACCCACGAGGCTGGCGTGACATCGGGCCCATTACGCGGAGCGAGAAAGCTCGCCCCTCTCTCTGTCTCTCTTTTTTACCGTCTGTCTGTCCGTCCGCCGCCTCGCCCCTCCCCCTCGCGCAACGGCGGTGTCATAATCTGATTAAAACCGAGTAAAATCGGCCCGTCTTATCTCCCGCGGCGGGCCGACTTCCGCAAACACGAATTGGCCGAAGCTCCAAAGCAGACGCCGCACGCAGACTGGTTCAAATAGAGACGGCACCCTGCAGCCTAGTCCAGCGGTTCTCAACCTTAGGGTCGCTTAAGGGGTCGCGGCGAGGTAGCTGGGGTCGTGTTTTGGGCCGATTTTAAGCAGCCACTGCGTCTGATCCGAGGCGGGCATTTTGCTCCCTCAACCGGCAATTGGTCTTTGAACCTTCCTTTAGCATGCCTTTGTTACGGAGTGTGATTATCAGTCTTAGTTTGGGAGCAGTATTGTCTCAAAGTTGGCCGAAACGCTCAGAAATGTCTTTGAAAAATCGTGTTTTGGGCCGATTTTAAGCAGCCACTGCGTCTGACCCGAGGCGGTATTTCGTCCTCTTTCAACGGGCAATTGGTCTTTGGACCTTCTTTTAGCATGCCTTTGTTACGGAGTGTGATTATCAGTCTTAGTTTGGGAGCAGTATTGTCTCAAAGTTGGCCGAAACGCTCAGAAATGTCTTTGAAAAATCGTTGTGGTTTTGGCCAACTTTGAGACATACTGCTCCCAAACTAAGACTGATAATCGCCTCCTAACGGGCAATGCTTTGGACCGTCTTTAAGCATGCCTTTGTTGAGGGTGTGATTATCAGTCTTAGTTTGGAGCAGTATTGTCTCAAAGTTGCCGAAACGCCAGAAATGTTTTGAAAAATCGTTTGCCGTTTTGGCAACTTTGAGACAATACTGCTCCCAAACTAAGACTGATAATCGCATCCGTAACAGAGGCATGCTAAAGGAAGGTCCAAAGACCAATTGCCCGTTGAGGGAGCAAAATGCCCGCCTCGGATCAGACGCAGTGGCTGCTTAAAATCGACCCAAAACATGATTTTTTCAAGGCATTTCTGAGCGTTTTGGCCAACTTTGAGACAATACTGCTCCCAAACTAAGACTGATAATCGCACTCCGTAACAGAGGCATGCTAAAGGAAGGTCCAAAGACCAATTGCCCGTTGAGGGAGCAAAATGCCCGCCTCGGATCAGACGCAGTGGCTGCTTAAAATCGACCCAAAACATGATTTTTTTCAAGGCATTTCTGAGCGTTTTGGCCAACTTTGAGACAATACTGCTCCCAAACTAAGACTGATAATTGCACTCCGTAACAAAGGCATGCTAAAGGAAGGTCCAAAGACCAATTGCCCGTTGAGGGAGCAAAATGCCCGCCTCGGATCAGACGCAGTGGCATGCTAAAGGAGGGGTCCCGTGGGGTCGCGAAACTTTTCCTGGGGGTCGCGGAAATTTTTGGCTACAAATTTGGGGTCGCGAGCCGAGAAAAATTGAGAACCGCTGGCCTAGTCGTTCCGTCGCTCTGTCTCTGTCGCACTCATGGGGCTCTGTAAGGGTGCGAGAGAGACAGCGACAGGCCGCATGGCAGGGCCGGCAGCGCGCCCTCCGCCTCCCGGAAGGCTGCCTCCACTGTAACTACGGCGCACTGCGGCGCACTGCGGCGAGCGAGGCGCAACGAAAGTGAACGTGAAATATTTGACGCGCCGGTAATTGCTACATAAACTTGGTTAATTGCTCGGGAGAGCAGCTCCGCCAATCACTATTCAATATGACTCACGCACTTTATCGGCGGGACTGATTGCTGCTCGGCACGGCTCGGCGGCGCGCCGGGGGGCGGCGGATTGTTTGAGCAGCGCCTCGCCTTCGTGCCGAGCGCCTGCGTGCCAGCTCGGGCCGTCCCGCAACGCACCGCCGTCTGGCGGGACTGCCTACGCGGCGGGCTGAAGACCGGCACAGAGGCCTCCTTGGCGAGCGGGACCTCACAAAAGGAAGCTGCGGCCACAAAGGGAGTTGCAAAGGCAGGCAGGACCCCGCAGGCAGGGCCCCAAAGACGGCCGCCAGGCAAGGCCCTGCAGTGTGGCGGAGCGCGCGTACGACACCAGACGAACCTCCGACTGCGGCACGCTGCGGCCGGCACGTCTAAGACACCTTTCACTGGCGTCCACCAACCAAAATTACATTAGCCGGCTGGCGGGGCCGGGCGGGGCGGGGCGCGTTCACGGAGTGCACGAAGGCGGTACGTGTGATACCAACGCGCCGCGTCCACCTGCTGAGCACTGTAATTTCAAATTAACGCGCCAAAACGTACAAGGCTCCGGTCCGCTTCGCACCGCTTCGCACGAGGCTTCGCCCCTCGCCGCTCTTCTTCACGGCAGGCACCGTCATTCCACTGTACTTGGCGAAACCGTTCCTCAAACGTCGAGTCCCCAGAAAACGCCCACGAAAAAGTTGTAACTTTTTTCCTCTTTCGAGTGTTTAAATAATTCCGGTCGTAAAGCCAGCGAGCCAAAGCGGGGCTCGCGTGCCGGTCGGCCTGCGGACTGATTCCGAGAGTCGTCGCTCTGTCTCGCTCGCACTCATGGGGCGTCCCGTAGGTGCGAGAGAGACAGACTCTCGGAATCAGTCAGCTGGCTGGCCTGGTCCATCCTCGAGCCGAGCAATTTTTTGAAACGAAAGCACACGCGCCGACCGCCCTCACTCAACACTCTCCGGCCGCAAGAGGACGTGCCTGGGCCTGGACTGGGCCCGGGCCGCCAGTGTAGTGGGCAACGCGGAGCCACGCGAAGCAACGCCAGGCAGTGGCGTGGCCAGGGCGGCGTTAACTTTCAAATTCCTCGCCCTCGCAGCCCTTCCGGCGGCACTATTGGCAGGCCAGATTCTGCGAATAAGCGCGCGCACTGTTTCTTAAAAAAGAAAAATGGAAAGTGAAAACTTTTCTGTCGCAGTGGCACGATTGGAGCCCGATTTATTTGGGCAGAAAAACGCGGTTAAAATGTCGCGTCGGTCGCGTCGCTCACACAAGCCAACGACGAGCGGCGGCTGCGGCGCCATACAACGCAGACTTTACTGTATGCGCGACGTCGCCCCCTCCCCGCCTTGTCTACCGACATTCTCTTTTCCGGTATCTTTATACACTTTTTTTTTCGGTGGGCGTTGTCATGTCGACGGAGAAAGGCATAAGCAAATGGTTTGTCCCGGTCGCCGTCAACAACGGAACCAGGACGAAAAGGAAACAACTTGGTTCCGAACTCGTAAACGGCTGAGTTACAGGCAGGACACGTATGAGAAAAAGGGAAGGGGTGGATTTACAAATTCAATTTGGGCCTTTCATATTTTTCCACAAGCTGTTTTTTTTTTTTTTTTTTTTCAAAAAAGGCTAAAAACTCTTGGGACTTTAAGAAAAAATTTAATGTGAGTAATGAGTTACCGGCAGCCATTAGTGCAAATGTAACCCCTAAAAAACCGAAGCCTCCAAATATTTCCGATGGACTTTCGCGACGCTCTCAATCGACGAATGTCGAATGTCTTCCAACTCATTTTCAACAGTGTGCGCGTAACGAACGAACCCACCGCCTTCCCGAAATACAGCAGGCGGCGGCGCGGCGGCTACTTTCACGCCAACAACGTTGTTGTGACCATCGCGGGTCTAATTGCCGCCCACACCTCCATCCTCGTTTTATCTTTTTATCTTTTTATCGCCCAAGCGACACGGCCACGGCGCGGCCACGCGGCCATCGCCATCCGGATCGTCTTTCCGGTGCAGTCCCGCCAATAACACCCCGTTAAGTGGTTTCGTGTGGGCGGCCTGGGCCTCCTTGGCATTCCCCGCGGTCCGTCTGTCCGTCCGTCCGTCCGTCCGCTCCTCATTAGCTGACACACATTTACACATTAGACGAGCGCGGAATGTGGTCGCCAGCCTCCAGGATTGGGTCTCCGCCTCGCCGCCTCGCCGGATCCAGCAGTCGCCGGTCGGCAGTCCCTCCGTTTCGCCACTTCGCGATC